TATCATGGCAGTCCTGTCTGTGCCCTTCTCTTCCCTTTGGGCTGCATCCCGTTTCCAGCACCCTCTGCCCACCGCATACTAGTAAGTATGTACGTAAGTAAGCTGACCATGTTTCGGCCCTTCGCTTTGCCCTGAACCTGCCCCCTCAGGCTCTAGTTACGCTCCCCCTTTTGATCCCACGCGTCTTGCCAGCCTCCTACTAACGTGTTGGTCTCCCAGACTTATGGCTTTTGCCCCGGGTTCCATCTGAGCACATGGTCTGTCCTGACTCGGCTTTATTCCCGCGCCCTGGCCCAGCTTGTGTGTCCTCAAGGCCAAAATGTCATTTCTCTTCCGGCCGTCATTTGTAACCACACAGGACGCTGGAAACCAGGGCAGTTTGCTTTCGCTCTCTTTCCTCTGGCAGACAGCCTTCCCTCAGGGGCCCTCCTGCAGCTGCCCCTCTCTGCCCTGACCCCCAGCCTCTGCCCAGCCCCTGTGAGGGCTTCCCCCCCACATGGACCCTTGCTGGCTGTGGTCCCCCAAGGGCCTGGATATGGCTCCGGAGGCTCCGATCCGGCCCTTGCACCCCACCCCCTACCCTCCACTCCTGCCCCCAGCCCAGCTTCCTCTGGTCACTTCCTCCCTGTTCCCATGCTCCAGCTTCACCATCCCCCTGCCCCCCTCCCTGCAAGAGCCTCCCCACTGCCCTCAGGGAGCAGCACCTCCCACCCAGCCCACCTGCTCCAGACCAGGTGACAAGCCCTCCTTTGTGGCTCTATGGCCACTGTCTCTTAAAGCTCACATGGGTCTGTCCCTACTCCCTCCCCACTCCAGAGCTGCACCTCTGCCCCTGGCTCCCACAAAGGGAAGTCCATGAGAGTCCCACTAAGCTTGCGGTGAGGGATGCCTTCTAGGGATGCCTTGGTCCTTAAATCAATGGTGGATGGGCTTTTCTTGAGTTGCCCATTTGATTTTTAACTAAAAACTTTCAACCTTGCATCACAAAACAGGCTCTCCTTCCTGCTGACTGTGAGAAGGTGTAGAGCAGGAATACCCCCCACCCCCCAAGGTCTGGGTACTGAGAGGGAGCTCCTAGGGGCATTTAGGGGCCAAAACTTGGATGGGAAACTGTAGTCTTACTGCTGCTAACCTCTAGCAGATGGCGGTTCCTGCACTTCATGCCGGAGGCAGAACCAAAGCAAAGCCCTCTCTCCGTTACCAGTGCTGGTAACTTTGTCACCCATATTTTTCTGCTGCATTGAGGTTGTAGGTATCTTGAAATGTCCTTCCTGCCCGTCACTGCTTCAAAATTAAGGGAGTGATTAGCCCCATTGTTAGCTCTTGTGATTTAATGTGTTAATAAAAGAGTGTGTTGCGTGCATGTGTATCTCATTAATTTAGTCTTTTGATAACTATGGGTTTTTTTTTTAAGATTTTATTTATTTATTTATCTATTTATTTATTTAGAGAGCAAGCGCAGGGGGAGGGGCAGAGGGAGAGGAAGAGAGAGGATCTCAAGCACACTCCCCACTGAGCAGGGAGCCCGACATGGGGCTCGATCCCAGGACCCTGGGATCATGACCTGAGCTGAAGGCAGCCACTAAACCCACTGAGCCACCCAGGCGCCCCTCTCCTGTGAGCTTCTTGAGACAGGCCTAGCCGGGAGCATGCGTGTCACTGACTGGGAACGAAATGGTTGGCAGAACGGGCCTAGATACCCCGGTCTCCTGGACTCTGCCTGCAGGCTCGCCAAGCCCAGCCTAGTGAGGCCCCTCGGCGGAGCCCCGCCCCACCCTGCTGGACCCCACGTGTCCCATTTACTGTACCTCGGGGTCTCCAGACCGCCCTGCCTCACAGGCCTTGGGCATTTGCCGCCAAGAGGGCTCTCCCAAGCCTCCCTTGGCCTTTTGGCGATTAAGACAGTGCTTCCTCGCTGTCCTGTCTTCAGAAACTCTGGGAGATGGGCGCCTGGGTGGCTCAGTTGTTAAGCGTCTGCCTTTGGCTCAGGTCATGATCCTGGAGTCCCGGGATCGAGTCCCACATCGGGCTCCCTCCTCGGCGGGAAGCCTGCTTCTCCCGCTCCCACTCCCGCTGCTTGTGTTCCTGCTCTTGCTGTCTCTATCTCTGTCAAATAAATAAATAAAAAATCTTGGGTGCCTGGGTGGCTCAGATGGTTAAGCGTCTGCCTTCGGCTCAGGTCATGATCCTGGAGTCCTGGGATCGAGTCCCGCGTCAGGCTCCCTCCTCCTTGGGAGCCTGCTTCTCCCTCTGCCTCTCTCTCTCTGTCTCTCATGAATAAATAAATAAAATCTTTAAAAAAGTAAATAAATAAATAAAAAATCTTAAAAAAAAAAAAAAGAAACTCTGGGAGACTCCTTTCTGCCCCTCCCATGCCTTGCTTTGTAAAGTTACGTAAAAGCCTAGCTTTTGGAAGCCAATCAAGTCCCACGCTAGACGCTAGACGGGAGATTAAAGACACAATGAACCAATTTAAACGCCCGCACATTCTAATGTGCTTTACAAACGGAGTATTCAAAGACAGGGAGTGGCTTCAGGGAACATATTAAATTGTTAGAAAAAAAAATCAAAACAGCTCTGAAAGGAAAACAACAGGGTGGGCGACTGAGCTCTGATTTGCAGGCCCAGGTCCCCCTTGCAGACAGCATCCGTCCTGTGCAATCTGGGGGCAGAGCCCACCCCGTGCCGGCCCTGGTGGGGGGCGGGCTCAGAGCCCCAGGTCTTCAGTCAACACTTGTTGAACCGCCAGCTGATGATCAAGAAGAAAGGGCCTGGGGCGCCTGGGAGGCTCAGTCGTTAAGCGTCTGCCTTCGGCTCAGGCCAAGATCCCAGGGCCCTGGGATTGAGCTCGGCATCGGGCTCCCTGCTCAGCCTGGAGTCAGCTTCTCCCTCTCCCTCTCCCTCTTCCCTTCCCCCCTGCTTGTGTGCACACGCATGCACTCTCTCTCTCTCTCTCTCCCATGCTCTCTCTCTGTCTCAAGTAAATAAATAAATAAAATCTTTAAAAAAAGAAAAAGAAGAAAGGGCCAACAAACCAGTTTTTTTAATTTAATTTTTATTTTTAAAGTGATGGTTGCTCTTCCCAGAAAATTCCCAAAGAGCCTGTGGAAAAATAAGGAAGCGAAAGCTTCCGACTGTGTGTTTCCACCATCCACAGGCAAATCGTCTTTAACCAAGTGGCCTAGAAGGCCACTGTGCCAGGAAGGGAGGCCTGAGGTCACGTGGGATGTGGCTCAAGCCACTCCGGGCCATGCCCCCTGCAGTCAGTCACGTGGACATGTCATGGCAAGACTGCCCAACCTTTCCCTAGGAGTGTAGTTTTTTGTGATTTTGTTTGCTTTTAGTGTAGAGTTGTAACTACTAAATATACAATTTTGCCTAATTTTTTGGTATCATTATATCATAAGAATTCTCCATCACCCATTCATTTTAAGCATACTTTTTGTGGGCTGCATAATATCCCGAAATGCAGTGTACCATCCTTCCCTTAACTAATCTCCCACCACTGGGCATTTTGGTTGTTCCTAGTTTTGCTTTGCCATTTTAACCAATGCTACATTCGTTTTTTGGTGCGTTAAACTTTATAGCAATTCTGGGATGTTTCCACGTTGGTGGAGGGCTGACTCTGGGCAAGGCGTTATGGGAGGTTGAGGATAAGCTACACCCAATCCCTTCACATAAGATGCAGATATAAATAACTTTAATCCAAAGTCGGTTATCATTGCCATAAGGGGACAACTAGAACTGGAACACAAAATAGTTCTGCCCGGGCTTAATGGGATTCTGAGAAAGTTATGGGTGAAAATCTGAACCACTGTGTCTGTGGCTAAAAGGTAAGGGCGAGGGAGTGGAGGGCAGCATCGAGGAGGGCTGGTTTTGCTGGGGGATCCAGGCCTGCTCCCCGTGGCCTCGCCGTGTCACTCCCCCTTCAGGCCTCAGGTTTCCGGGCTGTTAAATGGAAGGGGTGTTTCTCAAACTTTGATGTGTTGGAATCTCCCGTGGATTTGGGTTTGAGCGCAGATTCTGATCCAGGAGGTCAGAGTGGGCCCCATCGCGGTATCGCTAACGTGCTCCGGGTGATGCGCTGCTGCTGGTCCTGGGAACACACTTTCTCAGTGGCCGTCTGGTTCTTCTGTCCCAGCAGAGGCACCATGCGGCCAGCTGGGTCCCCAGTGTCTTCCTGCTTCCCTGCGTCCCTGGGCCTAAGGTCCCTGCCAGGTCTGGGTGGTCCGGGTGGGCCTTCAGGAGGGTGGAGAAGGGGTTCTGCCCAGTGAGAAGTGACCCCAGGGCCAGGGTCTGGCCTTGCTCCCCACAAGGCAGGGCTCAGGGCCTGTGGTGCTAGGCCTTCCCCAAAGGTGGCCAGAGCAGGTGGGGCTCATCTCAAGTGCAAGGTCAGTTGATTGTCCGTGGCTGCCACAAGCTAGGTGGTCTGTGGCTCAGGGGAAAAACACCAGCGATTGTCCGCCGTGGACCCAAGTTGGTGGCAAACTAGCAACAAGACCGCTGCTAACCTGGCTGTCCACAGCCCTGAGATCGTAATATTCAGGTGAGGTTCTGGGGCTGGACTCGGCTTGGCCGATGCCAAAAATTATTTCTTCAGCTGAGGCTTCTTGATCCATTCAGATCATGGATCATTATGCGTCATGGACATCTCAGATTACATGTATGTGTTTTGGGATTCTCTTTTGGAGGCGCTTCAACTCACAGAGACAGAAGAGGGCCGGTCCTGAGTCCCCAGGTGGAGTGAGAGGGGAGCAGGGAAGCTGAGAGGCCAGAGAGAATCTTTGCCAGCCCAGCGCCCTGGGCCCGCTCTCCCTGCTTAGCCGCAGGAGAGACCTGCTCTCCATGGCCCTTTGGAGGACTGTGCAGCCGAGTGGGAGCAGCAGGAGGGGCGCTGGTGGGGTGTGGGTCTGTCCCCAGCGTCGGTCCCCCCTCCCCCACCCCCCACGCCGCCCTGCGTTCTCGCCCGCCGGCCTGATCTCATGTGGTCCTGCCTTCAGCCCCTGCAGCTGCCATGACTCAGCCACCCCAGGAGGGCTTCGACAGGAGCGTGGAGGATGCCCGGGAGTGGATGAAGGCCATGCAGGAGCGACTACAGTTCAACGACAACACCCAGGGGCCCCGGGCGGCCCTGGAGGCCAGGCTGCGGGAGACTGAGGTATGCAGAAGCCGTGGTTTCCATGGCTTCCGTAGCCCCGTGGCCTCGCCGTGTCACTCCCCCTTCAGGCCTCAGGTTTCCGGGCTGTTAAATGGAAGGGGTGTTTCTCAAACTTTGATGTGTTGGAATCTCCCGTGGATTTGGGTTTGAGCGCAGATTCTGATCCAGGAGGTCAGAGGCCCCATCACGGCATCGCTAACGTGCTCCGGGTGATGCGCTGCTGCTGGTCCTGGGAACACACTTTCTCAGTGGCCGTCTGGTTCTTCTGTCCCGGCAGAGGCACCATGCGGCCAGCTGGGTCCCCAGTGTCTTCCTGCTTCCCTGCGTCCCTGGGCCTAAGGTCCCTGCCAGGCCTGGGTGGTCCAGGTGGGCCTTCAGGAGGGTGGAGAAGGGGTTCTGCCCAGTGAGAAGTGACCCCAGGGCCAGGGTCTGGCCTTGCTCCCCACAAGGCAGGGCTCAGGGCTGTGGTGCTAGGCCTACTAGAAGAGCTGGTGCCCAGGGCCTGGCATTATGGGGCCCCCATCCAAGGATTTCTGCTCCAGGCCAGGGAACAAGGGGGAAGAACATGGGCATGAATCAGAGACCTGGGTTATAGTCTCCATGAGGATGCTAAAGTGCTGTGTGACCTTGGCCAAGTCCCTACCCCTTTCTGGGCCTCCGTTTCCCATCTGTGAGCAAAGCCGGGACTGACACATCTCTCGGGTCACATCCATTGGGATGTTCCTGGAATTTGAATTTTCTGAGTCCTTGTCAGATGAGCTTTCTGCTTCCCTGCAGCGTCATGTGCTCCTCAATGACCAGAGACGGGTATTCACAATAAAACTGTGCCTGGCAGGGCAGAGAGCATACGTTCTGGTTTCTTGGACATTCTGTTTAATAGAACAGCTCACTGGATTTGAGTGAGGACAGGCTATGGAGTCTGGACATCTTGGGTTCAAATCCCAGCTCTGCTTCTTGCTGGCTGTGTGAGTCCCTGCAAGTCACTTGCTGTTGGGCTTCCATTTACTTCCCTTCTAGAAAGGGATGGTGCTAATTATCTCAGAATGGTGCTTCTCATGCCTTCACTGGCCTGACTCTGGTGGAGTCACATTTTTCACTAGCCTCCCCTGTCTCAGGCCTTGGACCATGACCTTGGGACCCCCAGGTAATCGGTTCGTTCCTGTCCCCTGCCCTCAGGTTGCTCCCGACACACACCTTAATTAAATACAGCCCTGCTCCTGCAGGGTAGGCGTGGAAGGGCCTGCCTCTCCCCGCGGTGAACGTCGCCTGCCTCCTGGTGGGCGCCATCTGAGCACTCACCATCCTGGGCCACGTGACCTTCTAGGACAACCAAGAACAAGTGCTTGATGGGGCTGGTTAAAGCCCGCCCACCAAGTGACCATCATAGCAGAAAGGCGGGAAGACTTTTAAGTCATGTGATCAGAGGCCTCCCAATGGGACGGTGAAGTGAGCAGAGAACCCAGGGCTCCAAGGGAAGCCTCTGGGGACAAGTGACTTTACTGTTGAAGCAGTAAACTGCTAAACATCTCAACTACCTGTTGAGGAGGTAGTCAGGTCGGGGGATGCAGGGGTGAGGGTGGGGAGGAGGGGCCTCCAGGCAGAGGGAGCAGTGCAGGAAAGGCCTGGAGGTGGGCAGAGCCCAAAGCGCATGCTCAGAGTCCCAACAAGGCTAGTGTTGGGGTAGCACCGAGCATCAGGCAGAGGCAGGGGGCAGGGCCAGAGAGGTGGTTAGGGGTCAGAGGGTGACAGCCTGAAACAGCAAGCCAAGGGGCTTGGACGTCTGTTCTGCAACAGGGGATGGTGGATTGGAAATTCAGATGGTCAGGGGTTGAAGGATTCTCCCATTGGAGAGGAGTTGGCAGCCTGAAGCCCCTTCCCATGTCAGACTTGGCCTTTCTCATCAGCAGCATTATTATTGCCACCAGGAGGCATTTATGCAATGATTAGTCCTCCCAGATCACCGAGAGAGGGGACCCGACATTCATTCGACACCTGTTACATGCTCGGGGCTGCCCTTTCCGCTTTTATGTTTAATTTTACAAAAGTCCTGTGAATGTGGTTTTATTGTCCCTACTTTTCAATAACAAAATGTGATTCCTAGACACAGTGATGAGCCAAAACTCCAGAAATTGATCTCGTCAGCGCTTGAACCCAGGGCTGAGTCCAGAGCATCACTGGCCATCCCCATGAGGGGGCCTGGGGCAGTGGAGGCAGGCGAGGTCCACCTTACTCCAGGGCTCACTACATAAAGGGGGACAGGTATGCACATAATCCACAGCACACAGGGTGTCCTGATGTTATCGATGTTATTCTCCTCCTCTAAAACCTTCCGTGGCTCCCCATTGCCCACCAAAGGAAAACCAAACGTCACCTGGTGTCAAAGTCTGCCACGCCCTACACAACCCTGTTTTCTGGCCTCAGCTGCTCCAGCACTGTCTCCGCCCCCCGCGCCCCACCCCCAGCAAGCATGAGTCTCCTGTTTATTGAGCGTGGGTGTGGGTGTGCTTGTGAAATGAAGCACCCCCCCCAGCCCCCCCACCGTGCCCCAGCTCCTGATGCTCTCCGTCCTGGAGCACCACAGCCCTGCATATATACTCGCTGTCTCAGGGTACTCATCCCTTTGGACCTTGGACCCTTACACCAGCAGGTCATTACCCTCCTCCGAGGCGAGGGTGGTCCGTAGGAAGAGCCCTTGCCTGGCCCAGAGACTTGACTTGGAGCCTAGGCGGAGGCATCCTGTCCTGGGTCCTTCACCGCTGGCTCTCCCACGGGGCTCAGGCATGCTCTTTTCTGGGCGTTGACATTTCAAAACCAATTTCGCAGTAAGAAAGAAAACCTTTCGCTCTTGCCATCTGGTGAAGGGAGCAGCTAGGGACTTTTCCAACTCTCTAATCCATGGGACCCCTCTCTGGGGCCTGGGGGTCTCCCTTGTGGGCGCGCCCCCCCCACCAGCTCAGTGATGTGCGTTCCTGGTAATTGTTTGCTAGAGCAGCCAGGATGTGAGTTCCAATCCCGCTGTGATGCCTCATAGCTCTGTGGCCAGGAGTGAGTCCCGCGCCCTCCTGCAAAGTGCAGGAAGAGCCCCCTCCCCCTTGTGCAGCTCAAGGACCCTCATGGTGGTGGAAGCCTTCTGGGAAGGGAGACTGGAGAGAGTGTTGCTCTGGGAAATAGGGCTCTGGCAGGCTGGGGTTCGAATCCCCGTGTGGCCGTGGCGCCTCAGGAGAGTTTCTGGAGCACCTGGAGCTTCAGCTTGTTGGGGTGGAGGTGCGCATGGAGGTAGCCGCCCGGTGGGAGGGACGGAACATGGAGGCGAATGACTTACTGGGGCCCTTGGCCAACTGCAGGCCCCCCTGGCAGAGCCGGCCCAGTGGCTGAGGTAGTTTCTCGTGGTTTCGATGCAGGGATAGGTGCATGCCGACCCTCCCCGCCTGGGCCCGAGCCTCCAGGAGCTGGTCCCCCAGGTCCCGGCATCTCGTCTCTTTGCCCTCTGGTTCCCAGCCTCCGTGGCCCTGCACTCGGGGCCTCGCCTCCGCCGAGCTGCTTCCTAGCTGGCTTCCAGGCCCCCCCCTCTGTGGTCGGAGACAGGATGCATTTCCTAGGACTTGGCTTCCAAATGCCGGACACATTGTGCTTCTCTGCCTCTGCTCAAGCCCCTGTCGCAGATGCTGCCATGTCGCTAAGAGTTGGTGCCAGTGCCACCTCCTCAAAAAGCCTCCCTGGGTTTCCCCACATTCCTCCTTGGAGCTCCAATCATTACTTTGCGGTGTCTGTGGCCCGTTTGCAGTCCTCTGTGCTCTTGGCTGCAGACCCCACCACAGCCTGCAAGTGCCCGGCCTTATTTGTTCAACCTGGACCCCAGGGCCCAACACAGTACCCAGCAGAGTACTGAGAATAGTACCCAGTATGGTACCCAGCATTGTACCCAGAATAGTACCGCGCAATACCCAGCACAGTGCTCAACTCCGCACCCTGCATAGTACTAAGCATAGTACCCAGCACAGTGCCCAACTCAGTACCAAGCATAGTACTCAACACATTGTCCAGCACAATGCCCAGTATAGTACCCACTGAGTGCCCAGCATAATACCCAGCACAGTGCCCAACTCAGTACCCAGCACAGTACTGCACATAGTGCCCAGCATGGTACTGAGCATAGTACCCAGCGCAGTTCCTGCCTCGTCTTGGCTGCACTGGGGAAAGCTCTGACTAACCCCATTCCTCCAGCCTTCCTGATCTAGTTGTTCTTCTCTCCCCTGAGGTTTTCCCTCCATCCAACCCCCACCTGACTGTAGCCCTCACTGGCTCCTTCCAAGCAGGATCATTCTGTGGCTGCAGGTCAAGTACCCCTTCCCAGCTGGCTAGTCGCTCCTGCCAAGCACTCCTGGATCTTGCCCTCCATCAGCTATAAAAGAACCTCCCACCAGCAAGAGAGTGTAATCATGACAGCGGTGAAGGAAGGTGGAATCTTCTCCTTAAAGGCTTAGGCCCAGCCTCCTGGCCCCAGGCCAACAGTGAATATCCCATTGGTTGCTATTTTGGTTTAGGGGCAGAGGTTTCTGCTTTGGGCCAGGAAGGGCTTGGTGTTCTGTCCGCCTTTGGGCCTGGCCTCTCCTCTCTTTGGTAGGGAAGCCACAGACTCACTCCCCTGCAAAGGGCAGTGGATCAGGGGGTCTGCCATGTCCCCTCCGTCCATCCTGCACCTGTCTGAGCAGGGGCGGCAGGAGAGCAAAGGGCCAGAGGCCTAGGGGAGGTCACACCGTCAGGACACTAGGCTGTGGGAAAAGGGCCGTGGTCCTCAAGGGGACTTTCCAGGCCTGGCTGGTTTGCTGTCTCTGGGGGTGACGGAGAGACTGAGCTCAGTGTCTTCCCCCACAACTGTTGGCTCCCTGGGTTTATGGAGCTAGATACTGACAGAGCCTCATTTGGGCAGCAGGTATGGGGAGGCCGCTCCAACTGCTGCAGAGAACTGTCCCCCAAAGCTCCAGGTTATTGTGGGTTCCCAGTGCCCTTGTCTATAAAACTGCTGTTACCATGGCACCTCTCTTGTGAGCTTGGGGTGTGCGCATTCTGTCTCCTCCTCGACGCCGGGGGTCAGAAATCTCAGGTCCTTCATCAGAGTCAAGCTCATGGGATGGTAAGAAATCCCGAGCCTCACCGTGGGACCCCTGCTCCTGAGTGATGTGAAATGTTCTGTGCAGGGCGTGGGTAATCTCGCTCGGCCCAGAACAAACCGCAGGGGCCCTTGGATCTTTAGTCCACGCTAATCACTAGAGTATCTTTGTCTTCCACATCGCTCCCTGCTGCTGAGCGGGACTCGGTGTCTCTGTTGGGTTCTTGCTACAGCCATGACCCTCTGGGGCCCTGCTGTATCCCACTGCTTGGCCGGGCCCAAAAGCAAACGAAACCTCTCTCCCCCTCTTGGGGTAGCTCCCTGCTCTCCATTCTCCCCATCCCCCCACCCCCACACTCATAGACCACAGAGACAGCCTGTGGAAGGAGCTTGTTTAATGTCTCTCTTTGATAACACGGGGAGGAGGGGAAGCCCCTCTCTATCATCATCATCATCATCATCGGTAACCATTCTCCTATGAGGTGACAAGGATTGACACCACTGCCCATTTGCACATGTTGGAAAAGGATCTACAGCATAGCTCAACCGTTTACAAAGTATACTAACCCATCAATGTTTTAAGTAACTGTATTTTTGAAAATTAACGGTATAACCCTATGAGGTAGACAAAGTGGGGATTGTTATCACTATCTCAGGGTGCGAAAGGGAGGCCCAGAGTGATCCAGTGACAGCTATCAGTGAAGTGGCATCTGGCTCCCCCCAGCTGGTCCCGGTGCCAACCACAGAGAAGGGTCAGAGACGGCCAGCCCCCTGGGATTTCATACTGAGAAGGCTGGCTCCAGCCCCCAGGGAGACAGGCTGGGCAACAGAGCTTGAGCTGTAAGCAAATGTGCTGTCAGTGAACAGGAATCAAAGGTGGGAAAAGACAGTACTAACAGTGGACAGTTAGTTAGTGGCTGACAGTGGAACGTGGCCAGGCGGTGTGCCCTGGGGCTCTCCCTGCATCAGGGAATGTGACCAGGACCCTGGGTGGCATAAGGCCCACATTTCACAGGCCTGGAGAATCTAAGTACCATGATGAAGGTCACTCAGGTAGGAAGGAGTGGCTTTGGCATTGGAATCCAGTTGTACTTCTACTGCAGAGACCACGCTTTAGTGGCCAAAGAAGTAGGTAATACCAATCAATAAGGAGAAGAGCTGATGTTAATCCGAGGCGTACTAGTTGCTAGACATGGTGTCTTAGTCTGGGTCCTCCAAGAGGCCAATGCCAAGATGAGATTAAAAGCTCAAGATGTTTTAGTACTGGAAGTCCTAGCCTCAGCATCAGACAACAAAAAGAAACAAAAGACGCCCAAATTGGCAAAGAAGAAATCACTCTTTCACTCTTTGCAGATGACATGATACTCTATGTGGAAAACCCAAAAGCCTCCAGCAAAAAAATTGCTAGAACTGCTACAGGAATTCAGCAAAGTCGCAAGATATAAAATCAATGCACAGAAGTCGGTTGCATTTCTGTATACTAACAATGAAGCAGAAGAAAGAGAAATCATGTATTTATATGTGTTGCACCAAATTATATGGATCCCATTACATGCATTGCACCAAAAACCATAAGATACCGAGGAATAAGCCTAACCAAAGAGGTAAAGGATGTGTACTCTAAAAACTATAGAACACTTATGAAAGAAATTGAGGAAGACACAAAGAAATAGAAAAACATTCCATGCTCATGGATTGGAAGAATAAATATTGTTAAAACGTCGATGCTACCAAGGCAATCCCTATCAAAATACCATCATGATTTTTTCACAGAGCTGGAACAAACAATCCTAAACTGTGTATGGGACCAGAAAAGACCCCAAATAGCCAAAGTAATGTTGAAAAAGGAAACCAAAGCTGGAGGCATCACAATTCCAGACTTCCAGCTCTATTACAAAGCTGTAATCATGAAGACAGTATGGTAATGGCACAAAAACAGACACATAGATCAATGGAACAGAATAGAGAGCCCAGAAATGGACCCTCAACTCTATGGTCAACTAATCTTCGACAAAGCAGGAAAGAATGTCCAATGGAAGAAAGACAGTCTCTTCAACAAATGGTGTTGGGAAAATTGGACAGCCGCATGCAGAAGAATGAAACTGGACCATTTCCTTACACCACACACAAAAATAGACTCAAAATGGATGAAAGACCTAAATGTGAGACAGGAATCCATCAGAATCCTAGAGGAGAACACAGGCAGCAACCTCAGTGACCTCGGCTGCTCAACTTCTTGCTAGACAGGTCTCCAGAGGCAAGAGAAACAAAGGCAGAACGGAACTGTTGGGACGTCATCAAGATAAAAAGCTGCTGCACAGCAAAGGAAACAGTCCACAAAACCAAAAGACAGCCTACAGAGCAGGAGAAGATATTTGCAAATGTCTTATCAGATAAAGGGCTAGTATCCAAAATCTAAAAGAACTTATCAAATTCAACACCCAAAAAAACAAAATCCAGTCAAGAAATGGGCAGAAGACATGCCCAGACACTTCTCCAAAGAAGACATCCAAATGGCCAACAGACACATGAAAAAGTGCTCAACATCGCTCGGCATCAGGGAAATCCAAATCAAAACCTCAATGAGATACCACCTCACACCAGTCAGAAGGGCTAAAATTAACAAGTCAGGAAACGACAGATGTTGGCGGGGATGCGGAGAAAGGGGAGCCCTCCTACACTGTTGGTGGGAATGCAGGCTGGTGCAGCCACTCTGGAAGCTTCCTCAAAAAGTCAAAAATAGAGCTACCATATGACCCAGTAATTGCACTACCAGGTATTTACTGTAAAGATACAAATGTAGTGATCTGAAGGGGCACATGCACCCCAGTGTTTATAGCAATGTCCACAATAGCCAAACTGTGGAAAGAGCCAAGATGTCCATCGACAGATGAACGGATAAAGAAGATGTGGTAATATATATACAATGGAATATTACTCAGCCATCAGAAAAATGAGATCTTGCCATTTGCAACAACGTGGATGGAACTAGAGGGTATTATGCTAAGCGAAATAAGTCAATCAGAGAAAGACAATTATCATATGATCTCACTCATATGTGGAATTTAAGAAACAAAACAGGTGAACATAGGGGAAGGGAAGGAAAAATAAAATAAGAAGAAAACAGAGACAAACCATGAGAGACTCTTAATCATAGGAAACAAACTGAAGGTTGCTGGAGGGGAGGTGGGTGGGGGAATGGGTAACCGGGTTATGGGCATTAAGGAGGGCACGTGATGCAATGAGCACTGGGTGTTAAATGCAACTAATGAATCACTAAACTCTACCTCTGAAACTAATAATACACTATATGTTCCTTAAATTGAATTTAACTTAAAAAAAATTTTTTTTTTTAAAAAAGCTCAAGATGTTTGATAGGGAAACATCTGTGAGAGAAAACGAGTTGGGAGCCCCATGAGGCTGGGGAGGTGAGGTCAGTCTGATACAGGTCTGACCCCCCAATCCAGGAGATCAGGGAGCGTCTGGGACTGCGGTGTGGATCTAAGGGAGTCTGGCAAGGCCGTGGAGCCTCCTGGACCAGTCACCCATCAGAGGAGCCCAAAAGCCCATAGGAACAGGTCTGCCTTGGTGTTTCTGCTTGGTCACTGGAGGGAGCAGCCCTGGGTCAAGCCCACTCCCGTCAGTACACCTGCGAGGCAGATTCTCACAGCCCCACACACTGTGACATGCACCTTGCATTTTCTCATTTCATACTGAAAAAAAAAAAAATCTGGGAGCTAGGTACTATGAATGATCCCATTTTACAAATGAGAAAACCAAGTCCAGGGTGCCAGGCTGCTGATAATGCAACCTGTCTGAGTTCACAGAGCTGGAAGCGGCCAAGTAGGGAAGGGAAGGAAGTTACATCATCAGCTCTGTGGTGGTGCGCTCATCTCCGAGGCCCCCTGCTTCCAACCTCAAGGCCGTTAGCTGGCTGCCCACAGTCACGGGAGAAGGATGCAGGAGCCACAATGAGAACCCCAGCCCCTCTGGCCTCCAAGTCCTGGCTCTTGCCAACATGCCACTGTCTTGCCAAGGCTCTGCCCGCTTGTATTTTGTCTGACCCCTGGAAACTGGCTTTTGTGTCCACGACAGAAACTATGCCAGCTAGAGCCGGAGGGGCGCGTGAAGGTGGACCTGGTGCTCCGGGTGGCTGAAGCCCTCCTGGCGTGTTGCCGTGAGGACCAGAAGCCCGAGATCCTGGCCCAGCTGAAGGACATCAAAGCCCAATGGGAGGAGACGGTCACCTACATGACTCACTGTCACAGGTAGGGTGGCTGGGGACCCTGGCAGGCCTTTGCAGCTGCTGGGGACCCTCCTTGGCTGCCACCACACTGTCCTGGGGCCTCTGCCCAAGGGACATTTCTCCAGTCCTGGGATCGCCGGGAATAGAGTGTTCTCTTGGGATTTTGGCCAGCGCCGCCTGCCCCTTTCTAATTATACTCAAGCTTAATGATGATAGTAGACAGTGGGAGTCCCCTCGTGCTTTGCCAACAATTAGTTCTTAGTAGACTTGCCATGTGTTCATCCTCCAGCAGAATGGCAGAGTGGCTCTGGAGTGAAAATTGCCTTGCCAGCAATTCAGCCTAGATTCTCTGCCTAGACCTGGGAGCCAAGGAGGGATGGGGGTTAGACAGACCTGAGATTGCCCCTTGCTCTGCTGGTTACTTGCTGTGCGGTCTTGGGAAAGTTACTTGACCTCTCTGAGCGGCCAGCCTCCTCATCTGGATAAGGGGTGTCATCAAGTGTTCCCTGAAGGTGGTCGAGAAGATGGCAGAGGATAACAAATGTCAAGGGCAAGGCACAGTAGGCCCTCGGTACACAGGAGCCGCCAGCATCCCCTTCATCTTTCTGAAACCAGAATGTTGAGGGCTGGGGTGACTTGGCCCAGTGCTGTCTGCTAGAATTCCAAAGTGGTTTGATGTGGGCTGGATAGATGGGGCCATCTCCATGTTACAGACAGGGAAACTGAGGTGGGCGAAGAGGCAGGGAGAGGCAGCAAGCTCATGGCACCTCTGGAACCCACACACAGGCCCCCAGCCTTCTGTTCCCCTGAGCCGGGGACAAGCCCCCAGATACTGCTGCACTCCGGACATTATTAGACATGGGGAATCATGGCCCCACGCTCTCTGTCTGCAGCCGCATCGAGTGGGTGTGGCTACACTGGAGCGAGTACCTGCTGGCTCGAGACGAGTTCTACCGCTGGTTCCAGAAGATGATGGTGGTGCTGGAGGCCCCCGTGGAGCTGCAGGTGGGCCTGAAGGAGAAGCAGTGGCAGCTGAGCCACGCCCAGGTGCTGCTGCACAACGTGGGCAACCAGGCCGTACTCCTGGACCGGCTGCTGGAGGAGGCGGCCTCCCTGTTCAACAGGATCGGGGACCCCAGTGTGGACGAAGATGCCCAGAAGAGGATGAAGGCTGAGTACGGTGTGGTGAAGGCCAAAGCCCAGGTGCGTGAGGTGGGGGGGGCTCTAGCTTCACCCCTGCATCCAGTTATCTGCCACTGTTTACCCATGCAGCTACACATTCGCTCCCTAAATAGCTACCCCCGCCCCGTACTTGCCATCTACTGTGCATGCACCCAACACCCAGTCACCCCGCGGCCACCACCATGCATCCACGTGCTCGCCCTCCTACCCACTCCCCATCTGTCTCCCCGCTGAACTACCCAATCTGCCATTTGCTATCCACCCCCCCACTACCCATCCCCATCCCCCCCAACCATCTCTCTGTACCCACCCTCCCAGCCATCTGTCACTCATCCAGCCATCTCCCACCAGCCTAACCAAGCTCCTATTCACCCACTGCCCACGCACTCGCCCACCCACCTCACTACCACACATCTGCCTTCCATCTACTCACCCACCCACCCCTCCGCCTTCAGCCACCCATCAGCCTGTGTGTACCGTCCATACACCTGGTGCCGCCCAGCGCTGAGTACACATGTGGTGCTTAGCACGTGTACACTGACTGATGGTGTGATGCTCGCCCTTGCCCGGCTTCTCTCCTTCCCCCCCCTTCCCTTCTACCACCCTAGCCCTTCCTTCTCTGCTCGCTTTGGACCTTCCCCCACCCTTCTGCCCATTCTTCGTCCCCATACCCACACCTCATTATATCCTTGACTATTTTTTTACAGATCTTATTTATTTATTTATTTATTGAAAGTGTGCGAGCAGGGGGAGGGGCAGAGGGAGAGGCAGAAGGAGCATCTCAAGCAGACTTCCTGCTGAGCACGGAGTCCAATGGGCCCATATATCTTTGATTTTTAACCAGTCTGTTGAGTTACCAATTTCAGTTATGAGTATTTTTTAGAGAAATTCTAATTTTTCTTTTTTTTAATTACCTCCATTGTTCTTTCTCTCATTGTATAAATTTTGCCCTCCTTCCAGATACGGGCTCCATCTGTAAGCATTCTAAGTATACATAGTTTACAGTCTCCATCAGATTGTTCAGGTAGCTGAAGTCCAGAGCCTGACCTGACATCCATTGGGTCTTCTGATGGGATGAATGATTTCCTTGGGGCCTTTGTAGTTTAGAGGTGTGAGCTCGTCCCGAGCAGCACTCTATCTGTAGATCCCTGTGGCTGGGGCCTGGCCCTCCGAGTGGCCTGTGTTTGCTTCAGCCAGGCTCCCCCAGGAAGTCACCTTCATGAGTCCTCTGTTCATATCAGTGTGTTTGCTGGGGAGTTCCCGTTTCTAAACTTGAACCCCAAGCCAAAATTATGTGAGAGGCCCCTGGCTCGGTACTCTGAAAGGTGATTGTTTTTCTCATTTGTTTTGGTTTTATTTATATCCCAGAGCCCAAGCTGAAACCCAGACTTCTTCTTTCTTGTATTTTGCATATGGGGAGATTTTTCTAGTTCGCCCTTGAGGGTTCTGACATTTGGCATTGCCTCCTCTGGGCCCAAAGTCTTACTTCCTCCACCAGCCTGAGCACTAAACCCAAGAAAACCTCACGCACACCTGTGAGTTTAGCAATCTCTAATCTTTGCTTGTGGTCCACTCGATGTCTCTTCCTTTGGTGTGTGCACACACAGGCCTGCGTTTAAACAACGCTTGTTAAATTTTGTGCAGCATTTTTGGCTGTCGGGCATGGAAGGGTGTTCAGGCTTTCTAGCCCACCATATTGCTGGGTCTTTCCTGATTACAGTTGAAGGGCAACAGGCCTATAACGAAGAGGGAGGGATCCTGGAATGCACTGACAAGAACAAGGACTGAGGGGGGCGCCTGGGGGGCTCAGTCGTTAAGCGTCTGCCTTCGGCTCAGGTCATGATCCCAGGGTCCTGGGATCGAGCCCCACATCGGGCTCCCTGCTCAGCAGGAAGCCTGCTTCTCCCTCTCCCACTCCCCCTGCTTGTGTTCCCTCTCTTGCTGTGTCTCTCTCTGTCAAATAAATAAATAAAAAATCTTTAAAAAGAAAAAAGAATTAAAAAAAAAAAAAGAACAGGGCTGAGGTCCCTGAATGTTTGGGGAGGGACCTGGGTTCAAGCCAGGCTCTGCTGCTTCCCAGCTGCATGGCCTCGGGGCAGCTCACCCTACCTGCCACCAGGCTCCTGCAACCAGGCTCCTGCAACCAGGCTGAGGACTGAATGAGTTTCACAAGTGAGCCCTTTGAAAACTGCCAGATGGCCTCCCAATAGAAATTTACCTCTACTCTCAATAGCAATGAGAATAAATAGCAACCACCATGGAGCTTGAGACACAGCAGGTGCCCGGAGCTGTTTGTTGAATGAATGAGAGCCCCGCCCTTCAGCCTGGCGGCACAGAGTTCCCAAGGTCCCGGAGGGAAGGGACAGGAGGTTGTGGGGCAGCTATGTCCAGGCCAGAATGGAGGGGCAGCGTGGGTAGGGAGCCTGCCTCTCATATGTGTAGCCAGTCGGCCCTCCCCACATCCTGAGTGGTGGCAAGGACCATGATTCTCCAGGTCTGCCCCTGGGGCCCAGGCGGAGAAGGTTCCTGCCCCCGTGGCCTCTTGTTGTGACTTTATAGGAAACAAGTGCTCCTGTCAATCAGCAGAGAGCCTTTGCAGCATGCAGAGGACAGGAAATGGAAAGTAGTTAGGCTTGTGGGGGTGTGGGGGTGTGTGTGTGTACACGTGTGTGCGTATGTGTGCGCGCGCATGTGTGGAGGGGGCGTGCCAGGGGCCCCAGGTGAGCACCAGTCCTGGCCCACGTGTGGAAATGGTCACCTTAGAGATCCTCAAGGTCACTCTGGGGGACCCTCCCCTCATTGGATCCAAAAGATCATAAAGCACGATTCTTCTTGGCGACATCTAAGTCTCTTCATGTCTTTGGGCTCATTTGGTCCTCGCAGCCTTCTCGTGTGGTAGATAGAGCAGGTTTGACTGGGCCCATTTTGCAGACTTAAACAAACATCTAAGTGGCAGGCCCACTTAGATGTCCCACTAGAAAGACTCAGAAGGTTCTAGGCGATGCTCGAGGTAGGCTCTACCCTCAGTGGTGCCTCAGGTCCTGGCCCCGTGCCCATCAGGGAGGGTTACGCGGAGAAAGGGGAAGGCAGCAGTGAGTGGGAGGTTTGGAGCCCCTGGAGGAGGCAGCACCGTGCTTCCTGGGGTTTCCAGGAGGCAGAGATCAGCTAGCAGGGTCTGCAGGGCAGGAGCATGGGGGCTCCTGTGTTTGCAGGGTGACCTGATCCTGCGTGGAGAAGTAAATTCAGTTTGGCTTTTCCAGCTGTTGGCTGAAGCTCACAGACACTGGATTTTCTCTTCCTGGCCACCAGAGCCTTGGGAGCTCTGCTCTGTTCCTACTCACGGGGGGCCCTGTCAGCCCATGGACGGGGAGGGGCTGGTGAGCCGTGGAGTGGCTGCTTGTCTCCCCCAGACTGGGCCATAGCAGACCAGAGGTGCTGGGTAGGGAGAGGCCGGGGTAGGCCCCTGCGAGCCCTCTGAAGTCATACGCAAACCTGTATGAGTGCATTTTGCTGGGGAGAAGAGCTATAGCTTCCTTCAGATTCTAGAGGGGGGCGTGAGCTTCCGAAGACTGAGAATTTACCGAGCAAATCAAACTTTGGCACTGTCCTTAGTAAGAGATTTAACTTCCAACCCCAAGGTCCTCATTAGTGAATGGGATATAGCCCCCCAACACACACCAAGCCCCGGGACACAGCCCAGCCTTCCAGCCCTAGACAACAGGAAAATGCCCGAGCTCTATCCTAAGCAAGGTGGGGAACGCTGCATGTCCTGGGGCCCCTGAAGATCCTTCATGGTCCACATGCCTCCTGGGCACCTGCCTTGGACATTGGACAAAGACCTCACCTTGCATGGAAGGCTTTCCCAAGGCAGATAAGAAAGCCATCCCAGGGTGGGCCGCTGAAACGCTCCTAGCCCAGGGACAGCACAAGGGCCGTGTCAGAATCCCCAGGGAGCCAGGCCTGTGCTCAGGGTGGGTCTCCGTGGCATTGTTCTAGTCCGCTCAGGCTGCCGTACCAGAACACCAGAACACAAGTGTATTTCTCATGGTTTTGTAGGCTGTGAAGTCCAAGATCAAGGTATTGGCAGATTCAGCGCCTGGTGAGCGGCCTTTTCTTGGTTTGTGGATGGCTGCCTTCTTGCTCTCATGGCGGAGAGAGGGGGCAGTAAGCTTCTGCTGTCTCTTCTCTTAAGGGCACCGACCCCATCCTGGGGACCCCACCCTCGTGACCTCCAGTGATCCCTGTCTCAACGGCCCCACCTCCAAATACCAACACGTTGGGGGTTAGGACTTCAACCTATGAATCGGGGGGTCACAACTCAGTCTGTAGCGCACATGCTTTGCATTAATACCTTGCCTTTCCCCAGTGAAGAGTCCATTTCAACCTTTCTCAAGCTAGTTAGCAGGCCATAGTTTTCACCCCCTGAAAATCCATATTTGACTTCCGAAATACTCATTGGCAAAGCCACTGGTGTTGCGGGGGACAGGAACACCGAGGCACTGTGGGGGCCACCTCTGGACTGTGGCCTTTGTGGCCACCCCCTGGAGGGAGGTCCCAGGACTCCATCTGCTGGCCAAGCTCTGGGGTGAGCAATGGCATATTGTCAACTCCAGACCTCAAGAGTCAAGAATAGAGCAGGCTGGTTGCCAGTGGGGTCCTGCTTGTTTACTATGAGTTTTATTTTTAATCCACCAATTATGTTTTGTGAAAGGGCCAGGCGCCCAGCAGCATCGCGCCCCCCCACACCCCCGCCGCTTCCCAAGGCGGCTCTCAAAGGGGGCGTGTCCGTCTGGCATCTGGGCCATGAGTCAAAGCGGTTGGCGCAGGCTTGCAGAGGCATCAGTCCACGCCGCCCTTGTTAATTGGTTGGGTTTTGACATTCCTGACAACTCTGCCTGCCACCAATGGTTTAATTGCTCGGTCTGATGAGGGAAGGTTGAGGACTCCCCCATTTGTCACCCCTGTCATCCTGCAGCGGGGCCGGCCTGGCCGAGGCTGAATTGTGCTCTGTGATCGTTCTGCCTGGCACAGAGTGGGTCTGGACGCCTGCTGTGCTGGGCTCCCAGCGTCTGCTCACTCTCATGGAGGCTTTTATTTACTCTGCGTTTCCCAAGCGCCAGCTAGCACCTCATTGCTCACACGCCGGGCCGCTGGCCAGTTCATTCCGGGGGAGACTTCGCTTCGCTACAACATTTATCACCATCATCGTCAACCGGGGCCCCGCATTTATTCTCTGCTTGTTATTCCTAACCCACTTTCAGAAATGAAAGCTTTCCCGGGGACAGGGGCAGCTCTGGAAGGGTTTTGATGGATGCAGACAATCCCACGGGAAGAGGGAGCCAGCACGGGAGGCATGATGGAGAGGGCCATGGCCTCTTGGTCCACGTTTGGAATTCAGGCAGCCGCTGTGCGCTGCTGGTGATGCTCTGAGCCTCTGTCTGTTAGTGGGAGGCTCCCAGCTCTTCACTGAAGGACTTGGTCCTGTGCCTCGGTTTCCCCATCTCTAAAATGGGGATATTTTCTCCTCCCTGTCCTGGTTGTTGCAAAGGTCTAAATGAATTAATATTCATATTTTCAGGTGTGGTGAGGACTTTCTCAAAGGGCAGGGAAGTTTTCTGAATCCACATGTCTGTCCACACTTCCCATTTGAGAACTTTTGACTCCGTTTTGGAGAGGGTCAGCGCCCTCCTGGACACGGCCGGCTCCCTGGCTAAGTAAGAGCTGAAGCCAGCAAACAAGGACCTGTGGGCCAAATCTGCCCCATCTCCTGATTTTGTACGGCCTGCGAGCTAAAAATGGCTTTTACCTCCTTAAAGGGAGGAAAATAAAAAAGCAGAATCTTTCAGGACATGTGAAAATGATACGAAATTCACATTCCAGTGTCCACATTTGAGTTTTATTGGAATACAAGCTTGCTTTACGTGTTTGCCTCTGGCAGCTTGTGAGCCACAGCCTAGCACGTAACTGGCTGCACCAGACACCACAGGGAGGATAAAGCCGAAAACATCCACTGTCTAGTCAGCCCACCTCTGGATCAGAGCCGTGATTTTGGAATTGGGCACTGGCCATTTACAATCTTGTCTAGAAGGCCCTTCAAGAGTTACATGACCTCCCAACATGAGCCTGGACATCTGCATAATGGGCAGGCTTGGCATCATTGGGAAAATTAAGATCGTGCTTGTCATGTTCCAGGGTTTTAGGCACATAGCATGTGCTTATGAAAAGGAAGTCCCCTCTTTCGCTCTTGGCTCTCCTTTGAAAACTTCTCTCTGCTGGCCACCCTCCATGTGGATTTCTTCCTGCCTTTAGGGAAGCGTTCATTCACAGAGCCACCCTGCGCGGGTCCTGGGGAGGAAGTCAACCAGAGCCTGGTGCGTCGGGAGCCCTTGGCTCTCGCAGCGGATGACAAGGCGTGGGCAAGGCCAGGAGGAAAGCACAGGACAGAGGGAAGGCCGCTTACTGAGCCTGGGGGCAGCGGGCCAAGTCGGAGGAGGTGGGGCCTGGAAGTCAGTGTATCTGGGCGGAGCTGCTCACTTGCGCACTCCCACTCTGTTGGGTGTGACAAGAGCACAGGGGACAGCAAGTGACAGGAATCAAAGGCTCACAGGTATTAGGTGCTGACTAGTTGCCCAGTGCAACTGGGGTTGTGTGAGCTCTGCATTTAATCCCACTGCACCCCAGTGAGGTGGGGGACTGTTATTATTAACCATATGCACCGATGCAGAGACTGAGGCACGAGGCAGGCCAGGGTTCAAGTTGCGGGCAGTGGGCTCCCGAGCCCAGGGTGTTGACCGCAGGGCCCTGCCCTTGACCCGTAGGCTGCAGCACTGAGATCTGGGCCTATGGGCAGTGGGGAGCCATGGAGGGCTTTAGAGAAATGAGGCTGTGTGATCAGGGATATGTTTGAGAAACAGAGTCCCTGGGGACACAGGTCTTATAGCAGGGACACTGCTATTTCCCGATGACAGCTGCCCTCAGGACACCATCTTGTCCCTGTGTGGTTAGAACGGGAGTGGGATTGTCACCGTACCTGTGAGGAAATGGGGGCAGCCTGCTGTTTATTTGTATGCCCTACAGACACGGCTGGCTCAGGGCACAAATGTCATTGGCCCAGTCTTGCCTTCTGGGTTTGAATCTTGGTGCTTTCCTACCCAGGTGACCTTGGGCAAGTGCTCTCTGAGGCATCGCTCCGTGCCTCAGTTTCCCCATCTGTCAAACCAGGATAATAATAGTGTCAGCTGATGGGGTGGGCAGGAGAGCTCAATGAGATGATAATGCACCTCAAGTTCCTTGAGCGGTCCTGGCACTTTGGCGAGTGCTGCAGTGATCGCTTTGTGTAGCAAGAGTTGTTACAATGCCCCCGTCTTGAGCGCTACCCCCAGGATATGGCAGGAAAACATGTTGACAGGCCCAGTGTGGACATGCTTTGACCAAGAGTCTCTTGGTTGACTCTAATAAGGTAGAGAAGAGCATCTGGGATGTCTTTATCTTCGGCAAAAGGACAGAGGGTTGATTGCATCACACACACACACACACACACACACACACACGCAGGCAGGCCTTGAAGGCCAGGGGCACTCTGGGGGGACCTTCCTAGGTGGTGACTCTCCTCCCCTCCCACAGGACAGAGTGAGTCTGCTGGAGCAGATGACCCGGGAGCATGAGGATTTCCAGGCAGATGTGGACGAGTTCCAGCTGTGGCTGAATGCGGTGGTGGAAAAGGTGAACAGCTGCCTGGGACGGAGCTGCAAACTGTCCACCCAGCACTGTCTCTCCATGCTGCAGGTAAACTGGGCTGTGTCTCAGTCAGAGGGGGCCACTGAGGAAATGCTCAGAAACGGGGGCTCTGTGTTGTCATTTGTTTACTAGGGTATGCTGGGGGCCACGGGAGATAACAAAATCCACGGCACACAGACCCCACATGAGAAGCATGGAATCTAGTGCAATATGTTTGGGGCTTCGGCTGCGTTCTGGAAATCTCTGAGCCAGCAGGGCATTTGGAAACCCAAGGCTAGGGCGGCATGGTCTGGACCAGTGGGTCTCAAATAGGGGACATTCCAGCCATGTCTGAAGATACCTTTTGGTGGTTACAGTGGGGGGTGGAGATGCTAATGGCATCTAGTGGGTGGAGGCCGGAGATGCTGTGACGCATCTTGTGACGCACAGGGCAGCCTCCACAGTGGAGTGACCCCACTGCAGGTGTCAGTGTGCCTCGGGTAAGGAACCCTGGCGTAGGCATCAGGCCTGTGGTGGTGAGAGGCTTGGTCCACTCTGGCCTTCCTGAATGGCTGTGACCTTGAATGAGCTTCTGACATCCTCTGTAAAGGGAGTGTTAATTACCGTCAGTAATTCAAGGACCACGTTATAAGTTTTGCCACAGATATACAGCCCCTGTACCATTTATTTCATATTTGTACTTAAGGTGACTCTTTTTTAAAAAAACCAATGAACAATGACCCAAAAACATCTTACATGACTAGTATGAGAATGTTCATTGGACCGTATTTGTAATAGTTCCAAATTGAAAGCAAACTCAGATTTTAATCAGCAGAGTAGTGGATAAACATATCGTGGAACAGGAGAGATATATGTATATATGAATATACATATGAACAGGAGATATATATATATATACACACATATATATATGAATACTACTCACAATAAAAAAAAATAAAGTACTAATATATACAACAACATGGAAGAATCTGAAGGGCATTTTGCTGAAAGAAGCCAGGTTCCAAAGCTAATATATTCTATGATTTCAGATATGTGGAGTTCTAGAAGCCTTTGGGGTATTAGAAATGCTCTGCATTTTGATCACAGTATGGACTACACGGGTGTGAATGTTTCTCAAAACCATCTGAACAGTAGTGCTTAGGATCTATATACTTGACTCCATGCGTTGACACTTCGATAAAAAAGTGAAATATTTTGAAGGCACTTTCAAACAAAATAGATTTAAAGGTGTTTATATAAATTTTTTTAATTAAAAGTGGATGAATATTTTATTTGAAGGGAAAATTTACATCATTGTCATGAATGGAAAACCAGCACTCACTCCTAATTTGCAGAGAACCATAAAATAAATATAATGAAACCAAATGGGGTCACTAGGCTCTCTTTGGCTCCATACTTCTGCCCGCCGAAGGCTCTGGGCCTGAGGCTGCCTCCGTCCTCGGTAAAAAGGAAGATCAACAAACGTCAGAGAGGGTTGAAGACAGAAAGACCCAATAGAGATTTTCTCCTTGACTTAATCAAATGGCTATAAAAGATGCGGGAAGGGAATTCTGTCCTCACCTTATGAGTCAGTGCTACGAAGGCAGACAGTCCACTCCTTGGAAAGGCGCCCCGGACCCTAACCTGGGAATCAGGGATGGGTGTTTAGCATGACCTTCCCCGGGGCTCAGGAAAATGCAGCCCATGTTTTCTCTCTCCCCTCATGTGTTTCTCTGTCCTGCCCCCACCACCCCCCCGCCCCCTTTAGGACATCGCCAGTGATTTTCCCCGGGGTGAGAAGTCCTTGAGGAGGCTGGAGGAACAGGCTGTGGGCGTCATCCAGAACACCTCTCCTCTGGGTGCAGAGAGGATCACTGAGGGACTGGAGGATATGCGCAGAGTTCTGGAGAAGATGCGCGTCCTCTGGGAGGAGGAGGAGGAGCGGCTGCAGGGCCAGCTCAGGTCCATGGGGGCCAGTGAGCAGCAGTGGCGGCAGCTGGAAGCCGAGCTGGGAGAGTTCAGGAAGGACCTCCAGAGGCTGGCCAAGGAGGGCCTGGAACCCGCAGCGAAGGCGGGGACCGAGGACGAGCTGGTGGCCCGCTGGAGACTCTACTCGGTAAGCAGCGTTTGGCTAAGACATGGACTGTCCAGGTGCCCTGTGTGCCTCGGAGCCTCACCACTTGGAGCTCCCTTGCCTGGGGGGGGTGGGGGGCGCGAATCAAGCTAAGCCTTAAGTACACTCACTTTGGTTTCCCTGGATCTTTGGTAACCTGAGTTCCCTGGGTGTAATATATAAGTTGGGTGCTTGTACCCATTTTCCAGATGAGGAAACTGAGGCCTGGAGAGATTTCACTCCCCCCCACCCCCAACATCCCCAGGATCAAACGATGAGTCAGAGGGTAAATAAGACCAGAGGTGGATTGGCTTTGAGTTTGCCATTCCCTTGCCCAGTGGTGAGATATGGGGTGGACTTCCTGAGACCAGAGCAGGGAGAGTTAGGTCAGAGGGAAAGTTCTTCAGCGTAGAGATGATGGGGTTCTGGGGAGACCCAGCAGACAATGCCCATCCTGGGAGGGTGGCGTGGCTTCCCACCCAGACACAGCGTGCAGTCAGATTGCGTTTGCCTTCCTCCCACCCGTGTACACACTCAGGAGGTCTGACTTATGGACAGAGAGATTTCCAAATAAGGATTCACATCCTCCCCCACTCCTATCTTTACATATTAACTCACTGGGTTAGCTCCACATTAGCACCATTAGGGGAAATGTCTAAAAGAAGAACTACCCAGATCCCACCTCCAGTCTGCATTGTTGTTCTATTTTTTCTCTTCCTTCTAATGCTTGCCCATCTGCAAAAATATGTTTGTGTGGGTAGAAACAAGGCACATAGTCTTTAGGGCTCACTGAGCCTCGTAGCAGCCCAGATTCCACTGTAGTGACCACCTTTGCCCAGAGGGAACGTGCTTCCTCTTTAGGACTGTCCACCTCAGCACAGGTGGAGGTGGCGAGCACGGGGGTCAAGGGCAGGGGCTTTCGGGTCAGACTGCCTGGGCGCAGGTCCAGCGTTCTCTCCTTGCTACCTGCGTGGTCCTGGGAGAGGTGCTTTAAACCTCAGCTGTATGCACAACAGGAATGAACCCATGAAAGCTTAACAAGTGCTTAGCATAGCACCTGCCAAAGCCAGTTCTCAAAGAGGACAAACTCAGGAGGGAAAGCCTAGAAAGCCCTGCCTCTGTCCCATCACGAGAGCTTCTTGCCTGCGCCCGGCTGTGTGTCAGGAAGCCTGTCCTGAGGCAGGAGGCTGACCACCTCCCTGTGAACTCTCTGACCCACCTGGTTCCAGTGTCTTCTCAATTACAGTCAAGCTGTGACTAACCGCAATCAATGAAAGGAAGTGTGGAATTTCTGACTCAAGACTTTTGTTCGTAAGGGAGCATTCACACGGTTGCTGTTTTTGCACTTACTATGTGTTCTGTAGGAAGAAGCAGGCACACACACCTGACCTGCTCCAACCCAGCCCTCGGAGTGGCGGGGTGCCCTGGGACGAGGCCCACGAAACCCACCTGGTTCGGCCGGGAGCAGCTGTGGCCCAGCAGAGCAGGGGAAAGGTAGAGGGCACTTATCCCGTCTTGCACCAAGAAGGAAATGTGGACTGTTCCCTCTATTGAGAAACAGGCCCACTTCAGAGAAGGTGGTGGTATCAGGACCCCAGGTGAAAGAGCTACATGTTCACCTTCAAACCGACACAGTCCGGTTGTTATTTACCTGGCATGCAATGTGCTGAGTGCTGGACAAACCTCAGCGGGGGGGCGGGAGGGGGCACGGCCATGATCCCCTTTTATAGATGGGGAAACTGAGGCACTCATGAGTTGAAGACTTGCCTGTGGTTATGCACCCTACAGGTGGAGGCAGGGATTTGAACTTGAACCTAGACAGTCTAACTCCAGAGCACATGCTTCTAACCCGCTGTACCAGCTCAGACTCCCAGCTTTAGCAAATTAGCATCGTGAGAGGCAAGGACCAGGAGCGAGGACATTGGAGCTCAGGCTGGCCGTGATGTCCTGATCTCTGTCCCAGTCCCGAGACCCGCCCCCACAGAGAACCGGGGGCGGGGGGAGTGATCTGTTGCATCCCCCTGCGGACCGGGCAGGACCATTCATCAGCTTCAGGGAGACTTTTTGCAGCTGAAGTTGAAATCAGAGCGGTTTTGTGGCTAACGCAGCATCGACCACAGCTGCCTCACATGGCCCCCCTCCCGGGCATCCCTGCAATCCAGAAACTCAAGATGCCCACATCGTGGGTGCAGAAGGCCAAGTCTCTCTTGTCCACAGGCTGGCCAGCCTTCCTGGGAGCGGGTGTGCGGGGCTTCCTCGTGAATGGTTTGGAAACTGCGAGTTCACACACACCAGTTGTGTCTTCCTCTTCTATGAAAACTTGTACGAATTTCATTACATTTGCTTCATGATTGGATGTGGACAGATTCCACATCCCGCTGCCCATACAGTGTTCCCTCCTGCCCCTAGCGGCTGCCTCCCATCCGTCTGAGCTTGCGCCCTTGAGCTCCACGCTGGTCCCAGTTCACTTGTGGTTTGCCCAAGACTGAGGCTGGCTGGTTCACTAGTCCCTGTGAGTGGAGGATCTGGACCAAGGCTCAAGGTTGCATGGGGGGCAGCTGGGGAGGGGTACGGCCAGGTTCCTGCTCTGTACCCAGTGCCTGGTCAAGGGGGTGGCCCCATTTTACCAATGAGGGAACAGTCGGGGGTTGCCCAGCTAGGAAGGGGTCGAGAGGGTTTCCCGCACAGCCTGTGTCATGCCAAAGCCCAGCCCTTTCCACGACCCCCCCATCTCACCTCCTCCTCAGCACGGGCCCAGCAAGCATCAAGGTCAAGGTCAAATTCCGCACTTCCTTAGGGCAGCAGGAAAGGGCTGTGTCTGGTGTCAGAATGCAGTCCAGTGAGTGCAGTGGTTTGGGAGGGCTCCGAGGAGATATCCTCTCGGCCTGCCAATAACACGAACCAGATTCACAAAGCACCTTAGATTGTTGTTTTCCTTCAGTGCCGCAGAGTCTAAGAGCCAAAGGGCCCAGCTCCCATGTCAGGTCCACTGTCTACTTGCCCCGCAACTGTCAGGAAACCTTCAGCCAGAGTTCCCCTCGGTATACAATGGAGACATGGAGAATTACTTCCTAGGGTCTTTGCCCAGCTTCAGTGAATGGGACACCCAGAGCACTCAGCGTGGTGCAGTGTTCCCAAGATATTCGTTATTTGTATTATTAGGTGCGGGCCCTCAGGACAACACTGAGGTCAGTGATAATAGAAAAGCCAGCTTGGGGAGAGCAAATGCCAAGGTCAGGGCACAGAGCAGGAGGGTGGGGCTGAGCTTCCAGAGACCCCAGTCCCTGCCCTGGGTGACGGGCTTCTCCCAGGCTAGCCCACTCCCACCTGCCACGCTCGTCCCCCAGTCACTGACTCTCCCACGCCCCTCTGGTTTCGTCCCTGTGTCGTAGGCGACGTGGACAGCGCTGGTGGCCGAAGAGCCCCGGGTGGCCTGGCTGCAGGCCCAGCTGAAGGAGCTCATCACCCTCTCCCGTGACCCGCAGCCTCTCTCCGACAGCGTGGTCGCTGCCCTCCAGGAGTTCCAGAGGTATCCGGGCTGAGGGAGGTGGGACTCGGGCTGTGCCTTGAACCTCACACTCAAAGGGTCTTCTGACCTCATTAAAGACCATCACACCTGGGTAACTCTAACATAATTCTGGTGCCCTCAACCCCTGGTATTTTGTTCCCAGAAGGAGGACTGGACTTAGCTTTATTCCATGCGGCGTGGCTCATTCACCGATTTCCATCCCGTCTCTGTGTAGCATCACACTGGGGAGGCATCCTCCACATAATGGCCCAAAGGGAGGGCTCTTCAATAGACAAACACCACCCCCCTGCCTGCAGATGGTGCTGCCTCAGCATCCGAGCCTGTCTTCAGACCAGCCTCTACCTCTGCCTCGGCCCACGGGCTCAGGCAGAGCCGGGGCTCCAGTGTCCTAGCTCAGCAAACACCAGCAGATCAAATATCCACCTGCGCTGGAGCTGAGCACCGTGTAAATTTGCAACCTGTAGCTATTTTTGCTCCGTGAGCCTCAGAGGTGTTGTGAACACAGCACAACTGTCCACGGATCCAGAGCCCCTTGCATCCTTCTGCCTGATACAGAGCTTCCTTCCAAATGAACTTGGGGGGCTCCCTCTTGCTGTGAGTCTATACCTCAGAGCAGGGGCCCGGATCCGGCTTCTCTTGTTGAGGTTTTATGTGCTGGCTCTCTATGACTGGATGTTGTAGTTGAGAGATTATTTCCAGAAATTATTAAGGCCCAGGATGATGGTCTCTTCGATTTTGCTTTCGAAGAGAGGCGCCTGGGGATAGGCAGTACCAGGCTAGGGGCTCCATGATTCCTCTTTGAGGCTTGAGGTTCTCTGGTCATGAGGCTGGGCTGCAAGTCTGTCTGAGAACTGGCATACTTCAGTGCACGTTAATCCAGAGGGGGAGACCTCTGAAGCCCCGTGGCCACTCCCAGCAGCCTGTAGATGGGGGAGAGCCCGCCATGGGGATAGTGTGTGCTGGGCTCCCTCGGGGTCCCGGTAGAGGCCTCGGTTCTGAACTGACCCCCTCTCTCCCCCTTGCAGCATGAAGGGGAAGAGCACCAAGCTTCGCAATGCCACAGGGCTGGAGCTGTGGCAGTGTTTCCAGCGGCCTCTGCAGGATCTGCAGCTGTGGAGGGCCCTGGCCCAGAGGCTCCTGGATGTTACTGCCAGCCTGCCAGACCTGCCCTCCATTCACACCTTCCTGCCCCAGATCGAGGTAACCAGGTCCCACCAGGAGGGCTGACCAGTGCAGGGGCGGCGGGGAGGAGGGAGGCCCCCAGCCAGACCTGACACTGTAGCCAGACTTCCAGGGAAAGACGTGTCCCTGGGTGCTTCAGGAATCTGGGTAGAGTTCGCCGCACCCTGCCTGGCCAAGTCCTGAGTTGGCACAGGAAATGTTATCAGTGACAAAGGTCATCCTCAATTCTTAGGTGACCTCAGGACTTTGTACTGACCCTCCCACACCCTTTCCCTCTAGGATCCTCCTGCAGATGGTCCTCTGGGGGAAGCATGAGCAATTCTGAGGGAGAGCATGTGAGGCCATTACCTTTACTGCATGTGTATCAGTTAGGATGCATGTAACAAGTGACAGAAATTCTGACCAACGGCAGCTTAAAATCCAGAGACTTCCAGGTGGTTCAGGGCTGGCTTGGTAGCTCAGCAGTATCTTCTAGGACCCAGGCTCTTTCTAGCTCTAAGCCACATCTCCCTTCATAGCCCCAAGATGGCTGCCACCACAGCAAGCTTGCATCTTCACGTGAACAACATCTTGTTCAGGAAGGAACAGCAAGGGGCAAAGAGGCTTTCTCTATTCACCATTTAAAACAGGGAGCAAACCATCCTTCCCAGAAGCCCCAGCAGATTCCGTACATCTCTTTGGCCAGGTCACATGGCTGTCCCTCGGTCAGTCACTGGCTGAGGATGATGGGATTGCCAGCACCGGCTTATACGGATTACAGACCTAACCCTGTGTTAAAATGTGATCAAAGAAGACAATTTAGATGATACGAACAAACTCTGTTTAACACTTCATGAAGTGGACAGCCTCCTTTCGGAGAGCTGCAAAATGGAGCAAACGGCAGGAAGGTTTCATAGGATAAAGAATAAAGAACAAGGAAAAGACAGATAGAAAATATCTGATTGGCCAATGGCCAGCCTTGTTTGGGTTGAGAAGGCCGGGAGTTGGCTTGATGTTTGGGGATCGCAGACTAGAGATACTGCGTTTCTGGCCAAGCAGAGCATTTACGAGAACTCAAAACTTACCTGGAAGTTTCACTCTGTTGCTTGGCATCCAGGGTGGAAGCAGCCCCATCTTGACCCTAGAAATTTATTTCAACACCTGAAACTGGGCACTTTGCCATCTAGACACAATGCTGGTTGTTGGGTGAGCAAGAAGGAGGAATGAACGTTGGGTGAGCAGACAGTGGCATCTACCACAACTGCCCATCAACAGGCAGGCTCTGATTAGCCTGTCAACACTGCCTGATGGTACCCTTTGGAGCTCTGATGTCCATAAAATACTTTCAGGTCCAGCGAGTCTAAGACATACTGAGTGGGAGGAGACACAAAAGAGTATCAGATATAAGCCTCGTTTTATATTAATTTTCATTCTGGTTATGAAAGTCGTGCCTGCTTGGAGATGTAAAGATTTGTGAAGAAGGAAACAAAGAACGCCCAAAATCCCATAAGCCCTTAGGACCACTGTTAACATGTGGAGGGACACAACATTACATTTTCCCTCCAACCTGGTATTTCTGGGGATGCCCTTCAGCCCATGTAAAATTCACTTTGGGGAGCCCTGAGGATTTTACATGTGTCAGAAAAATCAATTTTAGCTCAGACAATCCCAAGTAATACCCTTTATATCTGATGAAAATCCATCTAGCCATTTCTCTGCAATATGGTCACCAATAGACAGAAGCCTTAAATAATTCATGACAGTTTTCACGTATTTGGGATCATGTTATATAGTTGTATATTCTGATATTTTTGGTTGGCACATCTGAGCTTTTTCTTGGCATTTTGCTAAGCAAAATGAGGAGACAGAGGAATATGTTCCAAATGAAAGAACAAGGTAAAACCTCAGAAAAAAAAAACTCTAATGAAATGGAAGTAATTAGTATACCTGATACAGAGTCCAAAGTCATGGTCATAAAGATGCTCACTGATTTTGGGAGAAGAATGGGTGAACACAGCGAGAACTTCAACAACAAAAAAAATAAAATAAAATACAAGAAAGTATCAAACAGAAGTCACAGAACCAAAGAATACAGTGACTGAACTGAAAAATACACTAGAGGGTTCAGGAGCAGACGACATGCAGCAGAAGGGATCCGTGATCTAGAAGACAGGGTACTGGAGCACACTCAGAGCAGCAAAAAGAAAAAAATAATTTTAAAAAGTGCAAATAGCTTAAGGGACCTCTGAGACAACATCAGACAGAATAACATTTGCATTATAGATGTCCCAGAAGGAGAAGAGATATAAAGGGGCGGGGGGGCAGAAAACTTACTTGAAGAAGTAAAGACTGAAAACTTCCCTAACCCGGGGAAGGAAACAAACATCCAGGTCCAGGAAGCTCACAGAGCTCCAAATAAGATGAACCCCAAGTGACCCATAGCGAGACACATGATAATTAAAATGTCAAAACTTAAAGAAAGAATCTTAAAAGTAGCAAGAGAAAAATAATGTGTTATGTACAAGGGAAGCTTCAGGAGACTATAGGCAGATTTTTCAGCAGAAACTGGGCAGAGGGTCTGAATAGGCATTTTTCCAAAGAAAACATACAGGTGGCCAACAGGCATATGAAAATGTGCTCAACATCACTCATCATCTGGGAAATGCAAAACCCCAATGAGATATCACCTCACACCTGTCAGAATGGCTAGTATTAAAAAGATAAGAAATAACAAGTGTTAGGATGTGGAGAAAAGGGAACCGTCGTGCACTGTTGGTGGGGATATAAAGTGGTGCAGCCACGGTGGAAAACAGTATGAAAGTTCCTCAAAAAATTAAAAATAGGGGCGCCTGGGTGGCTCAGTTGGTTAAGCGACTGCCTTCGGCTCAGGTCATGATCCTGGAGTCCCGGGATCGAGTCCCGCATCGGGCTCCCTGCTCGGCAGGGAGTCTGCTTCTCCCTCTGGCCCTGTCCCTTCTCATGCTCTCTCTGTCTTTCAAATAAATAAAATCTTAAAAAAATTAAAAACAGAACTACCCTATGATTCAGCAATTCCACTTCTGGGTATTTATCTAAAGAAAACAAAAAACACTAATTCGAAAAGGTATCTGCACCTCCATGTTCATTGCATCATTATTTACAATAGTGAAGGCCTGAAAACCACCCAAGTGTCCACTGATGGATGAATGGATGAAGGAAGATGTGATAAATATATCATATATTTATCATATATATATATAATGGAATGCTACTACTCAGCCATAAAAAAGAATGAAATCTTGCCGCTTAAAGTAACATGGATGGATCTTGGGGGTATTATATTAAGTGAAGTAAGTCAAGCAGAGAAAGGCAAATACGACAATGATCCCACCTCTATGTGGAATCTCAGAAAACAAACAAGACAAAACTTGTAGACACAGAGAACAGAATGATGGTGGCCAATGGGGCAGGGTGTTGGGGGTAGGCAAAATGGGTGAAGGGGGTCCAAGGGGTACAAACTTGCAGTTACAGAATAAATAAGTCACGGGAATGTCAGGTCCAGCATGGTGACTATAGTCAATATTGTAATGCATAGTGAAAGTTGCCAAAAGAGTAAATCTTAAAAGTTCTCATTGTCATAAGGAAAAAATAATTCTAACTTTCTATGGTGACGGATGGTACTAGATTTATTGTGGTGATCATTTTTTCGCGGCAAATACGAATATCGACTCGTTATGTTGTGCATCTGAAACCAATATAATGTTATATGTCTATCATACTTCAACTACAAATTTAAGGAAAAAAGATAAAATGTTTCCAAAGAGTCATCACTCTAAATGGCTGCATAATATGCTTTTCCATTCTTACAATATTTAGGTTGTTTCCAGTTTTCCTTGTCATCAGTTGTATATGTTGAATACCTATGTACACAGACTTTGATCTCCATTTCCATCATTTTCCTCCTCATGTTGCTGAGGAGGGACCGGAGCCAGAGAGAAGTGAGGGCGTTTGTTCAAGGTCAGGCCACTTGAGAGGCAGAGCTGAAGCCAGAATGGTGGGTTCTAGCCTCTCCTCTTATGTTCCTGTTCCTGCTGTCACACTGGGTCCTGGGAACAGGTTTATGAAGCAGGCAGGACAATTTTATTATTATCCTTTGACTGTTAAGGAGACCGTGTCCCAGAGAGGGGAAGGCACTTGCTCAAGGTCACACAGCAACTGAGTGTCAGGGCTGGCTTTGACCCCGGTCTGTTTGACTCGGCGCCAGGTGCTTTTCCCGCTGGACCACAATTGCATTCCCACCCTGTCCTCGCTGGAGCAGAAAGCTAACCAGGACCTGTGCCAGGCAGGAGAGAGAGGTACTGTCTTTCTAGAATGTGACTCAGGACCTCCCAGGACAGGAGTTTCACAGAGCAGTGTTTTGGAAAAGTGGGCAGCACTGGGTTTGTCCACGTTTAAAGGCTGTTTGCTGCTGGGATCATGTCTTGGATTACGCTCACCGGGCTTTCCCAGGAAGGATGGCTTTCAGGGGCTAAGCTCAAGCTGCCAGCCCTATATTTCCTGGCTCAGCTCCTACACCTAGCCTCAGAGTAGCCTATGGACCTGCGAAGTTCCTCTGGAACTGAGACACCAGGCCCCAAGGTTGGACATGGCTGAAATACTCGTTTCCGGGGGTGACTGTAACAAAGTGCCCAAACTCGGTGGCTTAGAGCAACAGAACCTCATTCTCTCATGGCTCCAGAGACGGCAAGGCCACGATCAGGGTGTCTGGAGGGCCCCGCTGTCTCTGAAGCCTCTAGGGGAGAAGCCTTCCCTGCTTCTACGAGCCCCTGGTGTTTGCTGGCGGTTGTTAGTGTCCACTGGCCTGCAGACGCAACCCTCCAATCCCGGCCTCTGTGGTCACGTGGACAGCTTCTCCCCTTCGCTTCCCTCCGAGTGCGTGTGCCTGCAGATTTCCCCTTTTAATAAGCGCATGGGTCACATTGGATTAGGGTCCACCCTAGTGACCTCATTTCAACTTGGTTACCTCGGTGAAGACCCTATCTCCAAATAAAGTCACATTCGGAGGTAGTTGTGGGGGATGGTGGCTAAGACTTCATATCTTTTTGCAGGGGACACAGTTCATCCCATAAGAGCTGGTGTAATGACTCTAGCGGAGAAGGGCCGTCTGTTAGTGTGTGCTCGCTGTGGGTTGTGCACCATGTTAAATGCTGTCTAGGCCTCCCCTCATGTCAGCCTCATACAGCCCCATTGAGTTGGGTGTGACTACGCCTGTTTTGCAGATAAGGAAACTGAGTCTCAGAACTACCCAAGTCCTCCCAGCTAGTACGGAATTCACACTCACAGTGGCCAGGCCGAATTCTGAACTCCTGTGTCTAGGTTTGCTGAAAAGGGAGTGCAGGGCACCCTCTCCCTAAAGAGGCTTGTCCTCTCTGTGGCTGATCACAAGCCACATGCCCTCGTGGGAAGGTTACGCTAATTCAGCTGTGCCCGCCATGTTTATGCTGTCCTTCCTCCAGGGACTCTCTCTGCCCTCCCAGGGCTGCTGGCAAAACTGCCCTCTCTAGGGAGCCTTCTTGGATTTCCCCAACCAGGAGTGTTCAGCTCTGCCTCGAACACCCATAGGGCTCTGTCGAAACTTTAAGGGAAATGATCACTTTGTGCCCTGAATTATAGTTACCTACCTGGCTGGGGGTCTTTGTTCTTCCTTCCCAGCTCTGTGGCTAGCTCAGTATCTCAGCAACATCACAGGTATAAAATGGAAGGACTCTGGCCAGCTAAAGACAAGACCCTTGGCCTCCGGGCCCCTGGGCCCTCAGAGCAGCAAGACGTGTTTACCCCAAGCAGCGAATTAAGCAGCAGGAACCCGAGGCTTGGCCCAGGGCTTTGGGGCTGGAAGAGGGAGTGTAGGCTGGGGGTGTGGTCAGGGCAGGCTTCCTGGAGGAGGTGGGGCCTGGGCTGTTCTCTGAGTTCTGGCGGCTGCGTGGGAGCCAGCTACTCATTACATAAGTCTCCTTTAGGTCCTTCTTCACCTGGCGAGCTCCTACACATCACGATTCCACGCAGGTGTCACCTCCTCTGGGGGGGGACTTCCTGATTTCCCACTGACCATGCTCCCCTAGGCCCCTAGCCCCTTCAGAATGTCCTAAACAGCACCTCCAGGGGTAGTCCCACTGCTGTCGGCGACGGGGGGTGGGGGTCACTGAGGAAAGGATCACCGGACAGTGGCAGTGGGGGTGGCTAGGGAGGAGGTGGAGTTCTTGCCCAGGCTTTGGTGATAAGACAGAAGTGGGGGGCGAGAGAGGAATCGCGTTGACCCTGAAATGCAGGGCCTCCCTGATGCACCCTGCTGCCGCCTCCACCCCCGGCACAAAGGCGTGCATCCCGCGGGGCACGTGCAGCAGGACAGATGCGCTCCTGGACAGCTTCCCAGCCCGGGCCTGCCCTGCCGGGGCCCTGGGCTTACCGGATGCCTTGTCTGCCGTAGGCGGCCCTGGCTGAAAGCTCCCGCTTGAAGGAGCAGCTGACGGCGCTGCCGCTGAAGAAAGACTTGCTGAGGAGCGTCTTCGGCCAGGACAGAGCGGCGGCTCTCTTGGAGCAGGTGGTGAGCTCCGTGCGGGACCGGGACCTGCTGCACAACAGCCTTCTGCAGAGGAAAAGCAAGCTGCAGGTGGGTGTCCGGGCCTTCCTGGGAGGGAGGGGGGCGGCCTGCATCCCTGCCTCAGCTGCACCTCTGGCTGCTGGGTGGCCTGCCCTTTCCCTCTGTCCCCATGGCCTCAGCTCCTCGGCTGTACACCGGGTGCAGTGAACGAGCGAGCCTTCTCACTGGTGTCCTGCACCTGCCGCCCCCACCTCTGCCCCCACCCCCCCCAAACCCCCCTCTACACCGCTGTCACACAGAACGGGCTTCCCCGGAGGGGTGGGGGCGGGTGTCAAAGGAGAAAATGCAGAGAAAATCGCCTGTAAAATTAAACCACCATAGAGCTGAACACCAATATTATTGGGAAGACATTTCTGAATGACGACCCCGAAGCTAAGGTGTAAGGTGGCGGGTGGTGGGGAGTGTGTTCCCTCATGTAACAGACGTGAACTGAGCGTGAGCTGCTCACGGGGCTCTGAGAGGATGCCCGCCGGGAGCTTCTTTCACATCCGGGATCCGTCTCACCCGAGGAGCCAACATTCAGCCCACATCTGAGGGTCGGTGGGGCAGAGGGTCTCTGCGGCAGCTCGTCTAGCTCTGCCCTTGGAGCCAGAGAGCAGCTGTAAAGGAGTGGGCATGGCTGTGTCCCAATAAAACTTTATGTACAAAAACAGGCCTTTGGTGGGATCTGGTGTGGATGTGTTACGCGATGCAGTTCTGTACTAGAGAGCAGAACAGCCGTCATGTGAGGACCCCACGGTGATTCCAAGGAGGGCGTCCAACCCCTGCAAGGGCTCCAGGAAGGCTTCCTGGAGGGGGTGATGCCTGAGTGGGTATGAGGCCACCAGGAGAAGGCTGGAGAAAGAGCCGTGGGGTTGTGAGTGGCTGGTTGTATGAGGTGCCTGTGAGGAAATTTCTTAATTTCTGTGCTGCCCGTGTGTGTCTCTGCAGAGCTTGCTGGCCCAACACAAAGATTTTGGGGCTGCTTTTAAGCCCCTCCAGAAGAAGCTCTCAGACCTCCATGGCAGGGTCCAAGCTGAGAATGGGCTTCAGCAGGACCTTCCTGGGAAACAGGCCCAGCTTTCAAGGTTGCAGGTAAGGGCTTGGTGGGGCCCGAGTGGCCTGGCTCGGGTTCTCCGCTGCGCCCAGAAGCAGCTCCCCTCTGGCAGCAATAACTGACCAAACAGCCATCACCGAGCCCCTGCACTTGAGCTCTGACCTTTTGTCTGAATCGCTGCTGATTTATCTGGTGGTTTCTGGCCTCTGAGAGACATTTAGTACCTGTGAACTGCTGATTCTGGAGCCCAACAAAATGATGTTTACTCTGTGATTCCAAAGTCTAACGTGTGCATTCATTTTTCTTTAAATTGCTTTGCTAAGTGTTCCTCATGAGTACAGAGGTCCAGTTAAATAATTGGATTTTAAAAGTAAGAATAAATGTTTTAAAACACATGCAGACTGCACACAGGCTGACTGTTGATAATTATCGGCTTGATAAGGAGCTTGCAAGATTTTAAATGCATGCGATACAATTATTTTAAAACTCAAGCATAGCTCATGCATACATTGAGAGGGTTCTTGGGAAGACACTAAGAATGGTGCATTGGGGGGCTTTGAAACTCAAGTTGGGGTGTGATTCTTCACAAGGAGAGGTGGTCATCAAGTAAGAATTCAGATGGGAGTTTGCTCCCCAGAGATGCCTTCCAGGCTTGTGTCCGAGAATTTTTTTTTTTAAGATTTTGTTTGTTTATTTGACAGAATGAGAGAGAGAGAGCTCAAGCAGGGGGAGTAGCAGGCAGAGGGAGAGGAAGAAGCAGACTCCGCTGAGCAGAGAGCCCAACGTAGGGCTTGATCCCAGGACCCTGGGATCATGACCTGAGCCAAAGGCAGACACTTAACAGACTGAGCCACCCAGGCGCCCCATCCCAGAATATTTTTGTCTCCTTTTAAAAAATCTCACCAGCTCTGAGAGGAGGCCCATCAGATGGCCAAATGGTGCAGCTCTTGAGGTGGGGTAGCCCCATCATGCCAGGACCCTCCCAAGCTCCCCCACTCAGAGGCCCCCCCCCACCCTGATCAGCTCCCATGACAAGAGGCAAACAGGACAGCCACACTTGCTGCTTTTCCTGCAGGGGCTGCAGGAAGAGGCGCTGGACCTGGGGGCAGAGATGGAGGCCATGAGGCCTCTCGTCCAGGGGAACCCCGGCCACCAGCACAAAATGGACCAGATTTCCACCGACTACCAGGCCCTGCAGAGGTCTCTGGAGGTAAACCCGGGCACCTGGGATCCTACACTCCGGGGGTCTTTCTCTGCCTTTTCTTCCTTTATTCCTTCAAACCTTTCTGTTTTTCTTTTTCCCTTCCTTTCTTCTCTTCCTCATTCATTCAGCAGATGATTATTGAGTGCGTCCTGTATGCCAGGCAGTGTTCTGGGCCCCAGCCAGACAGCCAAAGACCCTGCTCCCTGGGGGGTTATATTCTAGTGGGTAGATGGACCGAGAGTCAGCAAAACAGCAAGTTCAGATACAAATCCAGGTGTGCCAGGAGGCCAAGGAACAGAACAGGCTGCTCTGCTCCCCATAGCAACCCTGGGGCACAGTGGGCGTTGGCTGTAGTAAGGGCAGTTGAGCGTTGCGCGGCGGCTGCTCGGAGCCTCCTCTGCAGTGCCCTCTAGCGGCCGCCTGGGGCTCCGTGGGGTCCGCACACTTCTGATGGCCCCTTGAGCCCTGGGAATGGAATGGGGTGCAGACTTCTTCAAAACTGGCCTGAGGACAGGTTTCAGTGGCTGATTCAGATGGGGGCCTGGGTCTGCCTTTGTCACAAGTACCCTGGGGATTGTGGAGCCGGCTGTCAGGCAGCCATGCCTCAAGAAAACTTAGTCTAAGGCGGGCTTCTGCACTCTGCCGGGCCCAGCCTATTTTATTTATTTATTTATTTATGTTTTTTAAAGATTTTATTTATTTATTTGAGAGAGAGAGAGAGAGAACGAGAGATAGAGAGCACGGGAGGGAAGAGGGTCAGAGGGAGACGCAGACTCCCTGCCGAGCAGGGAGCCCGATGCGGGACTCGATCCCGGGACTCCAGGATCATGACCTGAGCCGAAGGCAGTCGCTTAACCAACTGAGCCACCCAGGCGCAGTCTATTTTAATAACATGTTCCCAACATCCCATGCCATCCCGAAACTCGGAGAGAGTATAAGTGACCCACACAATTTAAGAATGGCATGTAATGCCCTTCCTGTAATAGGAAAGAAAAAAGGCAAGTTAGAATAAAATGCTTGTCTTTCATGGAAGCGCTGAAGGTGGTCACAGGAAGATGTGCCCCGCCTGGGTGGCAGCCAAAATGCCTCTACTTTATGAGATTCTCTGAAAATGTGAACAACCTTTGGTGAAGTTTCAGTTGCACCAAAGTGCAGTCTTCCATCAGCTGACGAAATAGAGGCCTTCCTGGAAAAACCAGCGTGTTTATTAGAACTGGAGAAACCTCTGTGTTTGTCAGCTGGGGAAAGTGTCCACGCTCGGGTCATGATGGGCAGGGTTTTCAGCACTGTGGATTCAGGTAGGGCACGAGGAAACCTTGCAGGCCATGGGGCAGCAGGATGGCAACACCTGTCGCTCTCACTGTATCTGCAGGTGTCACCCCTGCCCCATCACTGTCACAGCAATCAAACCCCCCCTCCCCCCCCCACGCCCGCAAGCTTCCAAGAAACACGGCTCCAGCCTGTAGATGCTCATTGATCTAAGTGATGCATAAGGTCTAGATGAACTGATTTAACTCCACTTAATAAATGAGTGGCTAGTGGTCTCAAGGTTGGGTTGGGGGCGTAGAGAAATAGGAATCACTGTCCCTGCTGCTTGGGAGCTCAGAGAACCCAGGGAAACAGCAAACATCAACTTTAATGCCTGCATCTGATGAGTCCGATTGATGGTGATAATAATTAGAAACAGCATTAACGGAGCATGATTAACGGTGGCCGAATGCTGATACTCCAATGCTCTTGTGACTCTTCATTTATTGTCTACATACTTCAAAGAAGTCACGCCCCCCTTTTATTACTGTGGTACTCAGGGCTTTTTAAATCTCATAAGTGCTAATAAGTCCTTCCCCCACAGCCCAGGTGATCCTCCTGTCTCCCCCTGGGGGGGGCACCTACCCCCCTAAGGACCCGAGGCTATTGAAAGCATGGGGTCTGAGCCGGTGCACAGCAGACAGGAGTGGTGGCGGTGGTGACGACATTGCGGAGAAGCGGAGTCTTAGGTGACTTTTCCGGCTCTGGTCACTGGTTTGTTGCAGGAAGATGAGATGCACTGTCTCTGTGTCCCCAGCTCTAGTGGGCCTGGCCTCCAGTGGTGTCAGCCAGCATCTGGAATGCAGGAGGGCTGGGCCGGTGGTGGCCTCTGCCAGGGATCACAGAGAGACCCTGGGGTCTGAGTGCTCTGCCGTGGGCTGAGAGGGAGTGCTCAGAGGGCCCCAGGTTGGGTGACCAGGAGGACAGGGGCCCTCCTTCCCTGAAGACAGAGGAACAAGGCCCCAGCCTCAGAGAGCTCAGAGTGGCTGACCCAGAGGAGGGGTGGGGGGAAGCAAGACCATTCTCAAAAATTATCAGAGTGTAATCATATATAGAAAAGCAAACATCTAAGTGTGTAGTTTGATGAATTTTTTAAAACTCCACATTACCAGTACCCAGATCATGACACAGAATAATAGTGGCTTCCCCCAGCCCCCAAAGCCCCTCATGCCCCCCACAGTCGCTGCCCACCACTCCTGGCACCTGACACTCAACTTGGAACACCGTGGATTGGGTTTGCCTGATTTTACACGTTATTTTCATTGAATCAGAACGTTTTCTTTTGTCTCTGGCTTCTAGCTTTCCCCTCATTCATAATGGATTAGATTGTTGTGTAGATTGCTCATTCTTGCTGCTGTAAAATATTCCACTGTCTGAAGCTACCTCAACATATGTATCCATACTTCTGTTGATGGCCACTTGGGTAGTTTCCGGTTTGGGGCTATCAGAAGCAACACCACCCTTATGCCTTTTGGTGAAAACATGTTTGTATCTGTTACGTAGACACCCAAGGGTGAAATGGTTGGGTCATAGGGATGCCTGTGTTCAGTTGTAGTAGATACTGACCTGTGGTTTCCCCCCCGTGGTGTATGATTGATACCCACACTAGCAGTGGGCAGGAGCTCCACTTGCCCACACCCTCATCCAGACATGGTACCGTCTATAAAAGTTAAGACAGGCTTAGAGATACTTTAAACCAGAGTTGGTCTTTCCAGAATAAATTCCCTGTCCTGGGCAGAAGGGAGGACTCACCTCTTGTGTTCCTGCTGGGTGGGGAGCCCTGGCGGGGGTGCATCTTGCCCCAGGGCAGGTCCGGGGGTCCTGCAGGATGGAGGGGCCCGGAGGCCCAGTGGCCGCCAGCGCTCAGAGCGCCCTGGGCCCCCCCGGGGCTGTGCTACAGGACCTCATGGACAGGGGCCAGCAGAGTGTGCGGGAACACTGCACCTTCCGCCACGAGCTGCTGGAGCTGCGACAGTGGATTGCCATGGTCACTCAGAAGCTGGAATCACACCAGGAGGATGCAGGCACATGGGACGCCCAGTCCCAGGAGGTCAAAGTCGAGGTAAGGTGGCTGTCCCAGTTCCCTCACTTGCCTCCCAGAAGGCAGGCTTGGGAGGCCAAAGATTCTACACGGGGGAGCGGAGACCCCTGCCCCGAGAGCTCACTGTGGGGGGCTGCGTGTGCGCATGTGTGTCCTTTAGAGGCTGCTGGCTGAATTCCCGGAGAAGGAGGCCCAGCTGCCCCTGGTCGAAGCACACGGCCGGCTGGTGATGAAGAAGTCTTCTCCGGAAGGGGCTGCCATCGTCCAGGAGGAGCTAGAGGAGCTGATGGAGTCCTGGCAGGCCCTGAGGCAGCTGGAGGAAAGCCTGCTGAGGTGAGGGGGGGTCCCCGGCTCTGAGCCTGGTCTCAGGCAACACCCCCTTCCTGTGCAGGGGAGAGCTCAGTGGTGCCCTTAGAACAGGAGGCTGGGGTTTGGCTGGGTGCCGAGCATGGCACCAGGTGCCTCCGTGCATCTCCGCCCTGGCCCAAGGACAGTTCTAGTAGGAGCAGTAGAAGCCAGGGAGTGCCCCAGCGCGGGGGTGAGCCTCCCGCCCGCGCTGGCTTGGGCCTCGCCTGCATCGATGGGTACAGGCACTTTAATGACAGCGTAAGGTGGGTCCCCAGTGGGAAACTGGGAATGCACGTGTCTGGGGAACATTCTGACAAACCCGAAGGATAGTTGACCCGAAAGATCGTCTCCTACCACGTGATGCCCCAGTGACCTGGCGAGTCCCCATTGCATCACCGCGGTGACTGGGCCGTTTGTCTCCTCAGCCTCATCAGGAACCAGCAGCTGCAGAAGACGGAAGTGGATTCAGGGAAGAAAATGATTTTCACCAACAACATCCCGAAGGCCGGGTTTCTCATCGATCCCATGGATCTTGTTTCCAGGCGTCCCCGTCAGGTGCGTCTGCCTAGCGGGGCTCCCTGGGCCCTGGGAGGCTGGGGCCGGAGTCAGGGTTGTGGGGGGTGGTCTTCAACAAAGCCCCCTCCTCGCCTGGGGCCACATGCTCAGCTCAGGACTCGGCCACGTCCCATCCTGGGTGAACCTGTCCCTGCTCCTTGTGCCACGGCACAGAGGGACCCAGAGACCCCAGACCCAGGCCACAGGAAAGGTCAGAAGCGTCCCTCGGGCAGACAGGTCCTCACCCCTCAGAGAAGAGGTAGCCAGCCGGCCCTACAGGGCTGAGAGCTTCCTGCTGGCCCTGCCATCATGCAGGCTGGGTCCCTTTTTTGTGCCATAAGCTGTATTTTGTTCAAAAGATCTAGCCTAACGACCTAGTGTCGTCCATCCCTTCTCTTGACGGCTTTTAAAGCAAGGAACCGCATTGAAAAGACGTTCCTTCCTCGTTCTTCGGAAACCGCACACCAGCTCTCAGTCTCCCCTGTATTCTTGTACTGCCCCTTCCCGAATCACCTGCCGAGTGTGGCTGTGCCCGGAGGCCTGCGCTTGGGGCCAGGGCCGGCTGTGGGCGAAGCAGAGGCGCTTCTAACCCACAGGAATGCAGACCCCAGCGCAGAGCCTCTGACACTGCAGCGTGCTCCCTGCGCGTAGGAAGACGCAGATCCCACTTCAGCAGGGCCCAGGACTCTGCATTTCTTGAAGCTGGAGGGGGACGCCTGGGCCGCTGGGCCTCGGAGCACATTTTGAGGAGCAAGGAAGTGGGAATCACAGGCAGTTAAGTAAGGGCAGTGGGCCAGGGCCGAGGGCTGATGCTGTAGGAGCTGATGCAGAGGGACCGGGACCCAGTTCTGGGACAGCAAAGGCCTCCTGGGAAAATGTAGGGGAATCCTCACGGCCCAGCGGAAGTCAGGGAGAGGAAAGGAGGGGTGTGTCCCATGCAGAGGAGACGGTGTGAGAGACACAGAGGGAGAGAGCACAAGTGCCAGGGGTCAAGAGGTGTCTGGGGCTCGGGTTCCAGGGGTGGGGGTGTTGGCGGGGAAGGTGGTTCGCGCCACAGGGTCCAGCAGGGCCGGGACAGAGGCTCTCAGAGGGCCACACAGATGGCCTCGCTGGACGGACTTGCATTTTAGACAGCTCCCTCTGGCTGCAGAGCCCAGAGAGGGACAGGTGTGTGCAAGGCTGACCACCGTTCCATCCTGGCAAGGAATGGTGGTGACTGCCGCTAGGAGACCAGCAGGTGACCACGATGACTCACTGTCGCAGCTCCAGCAGCTCGGCGCTGAAAGTGCAGTGATCCTGCGCGGTCTGCAGGCACCCATCCACGAGGTCCTGCGGCACAGCCCCGGGGGGCCCAGGGCGCCCTGAGCACCGGCCCACACTGACCCCCTGGGCCACCCCAACCCCGCAGGACCCCCAGACCTGAATCACAATTAAACTCCTAATGTGGCCACCCTGAATGGAGAGACGTGCCCCCTCCTCACCTTTGGAAATCCTCATCCCCACCCTCTGCCTCAGAGGAGGCCCCCGGGATGCAGGCCTGGGGGGCTGTTTCACCTCTGATGCGTTGGTCGTGCTGCTGTGCGTTCCTTCAGGCAAACCCACTCCAGGAAGAAGGCAGCCATGAAGGTTTCTCCCAACTCCTGAGGGACTTCGAGCAGTGGTTAGAGGTGGAAAATGCCAAGCTGGTTAGAATCATTGCGATGAGAATGGCCACCGCCAAGGATTTGAAGACCAGGGAAACGAAGCTGCAGGTTTGTTCCCACGAAAAGGCCCTCTGTCCACAGGGTTTGCCCCCATGGACGTGTTTGCTACCAGGGAGTTCTTCAAAAAAGAAAAAGAGCACACACATGGCTTGTGAGCCATTTTTACTTGTGTATAAATAACAGTTCTTAAACTTTTTTGGTTCACATATTTTAGAAGAGCTTTGGAAGAACCATTCATTCATTCAGCCTACATCTGTGTTTCCCCAATTTGGAAAATACCACTACTAATCATGACTCTGAAATCAGTTAGCTGTTGCTGTGTAACAAATCATCCCAGCCGTTTGTGGCTTCAGACAGCACATGTTCATTTAAGTCATGATTCAGAAGGTTGGCAATCTAGGCTAAGCCCATCTGGGCAATGCTTCTGGTTTTGTGGGGCTCCCTGATTTGCTCTCAGTTATAGGTTGGCCGGGTGGCTCTACTCTGGGGGTTGGCAGGCTGCTGGAGATGAGCATGAGATGGACCACACATCTCTTCTCCTCTTGTGGGGCAGCCTAGGCTTCTAGTAGCAGAGGCATTGTCCAAGGGCAAGTGGGAGCACCCAAGGCTTCTGGGGCTTAGAGTAGGAACTCCTGCATTACTTGCCCTGTATTCTGTTGGACAAAGAATCACAAGGCCAAGCCAGATTCATGGGGAGGGAAAACAGACTCCACTTCTTGATGGGAAGGACTCAAGGTCATATTGCAAAGGGAATGGATATGGTGGGGGGAGGTGGGATGGGGGTGTCATGGTCATTTTTGCCATCCTTCTACCACCAGTCTTCTTTCTACTCCACTCCCACATCTAAATAGTCCCCCACCCCTCCTGGATTCCACCTCCTGGGTGTGTTTTGTTCTGCACCCTCTTGCTACCACTATGTTAATCTAGGTACTTAACCATTTCTGACCTTGATTATGGCAGTAGGCTCTCAGCTGGCCTCCTTCCTTCCTTTTGGGCCCCCATCCAGGTCACGGCTCAATTCTGCAGCCAGAGTGACCTTCAGCATCATAAATCTGGCTTTGTTCTTCCCTTGACGAGAACCTTTCCGTAGAGAATCCAACCCCACCCCACCTTAAGCATATCACGCAAGGTCATTCTCAACCAAGCCCCAGCCTACCTCTCTTTTTCCTTATTTCTCAGCAGTTCTACTATGATATGTTAGGGTTTGGATTTCTTTTTCTCTTATTTGGAATTCGTCTGGATTCTGGAATCTCTGGTCTAGAGTCCTTCTGGAAAATCCTCTGATACGTTCTTAACTTATCGCCTCTTAACATATCGCCTTGTTTCCCTTCCCCTCTCCTTCTGTGTTGCTGCTGAAACATGGTATTCCTTCTCACTGTGGGCTCTATGTCTCCTCCCTTCTCTTGTGTCTTGTTCATCCTCCGGTCTCTTCCTCTTGCACTGTGGAGAGTTTTTCTACTCTACCTTCCGGTTTACTAATTCTCTCTTTAGCTGTGTCTCATTCACTATTACACATGTCTGTTATGCCTTCAACTTTTGATACTATATTCCCCAGTTCTAGAATTTCTACCCAGTTCTCTTGAAATACCACTCTGTCACTTTTCGTAGCTTCCAGATCCCTGCGGAACTTTTGAAGCCTGGCTTTTAATTCTTCGAGCCTAGTAAAGAGAACTGTTTTACCGAGTGTGTCTAATAACGAGTGTGTCTAATAATTCTAGTATCTTAAGTCATTTTAGGAACGTTTTTTCTGCGTGTTGTTTCTGCCCATTCTAGTTGTCAGTGTCTTGCATGTATGGGGCTGCTTTGATTATGTGTGAAAGAGGTATAGGGGTCACTTGAGGTTGAGGATCATCTCTTTTTCAGAGGATTTTGTTTGTGGCTTCCAGGCAAGAAGGGCTTTCTTGTTCTGAAGCCAGGGAATCAAAGTTCAATGTTGGAGGCTCCCTGCGCCCCTGGTGACTTGGAGTGGACTTCAGTCCACACAGGGTGTGAGTTTATTTTGGATTCACCTTTAGGAGCCTCAGCCACAGGGGGAGAGGGTTATGAGAGTCCTCCACCCCTACAGAGCCCAGACCTTGACCTTTGTCTCCATAGCCCCGTGAGGCTGCCAAAAGCATGATCTGTTTCACAACCGTTTCTTCCAGAACGGCAGGTGTCCTGAAGGCAAAAGCAGGCCTGAACACTGGGCTTACTTCTCTGGGCTTCATCATTTCCCAAATTTTAGCTGATGTGCCTCACCTTCTTGCCAACTCTTTGATGCCTTTTAAGTGTTTTTAATACTTTGGCCTCGGCGAGAGGTTTGGTCCGATCACCTAGGGGATTATGAGCAGGAAGTCCTTCCCGCAGACTTCCTACCTCACATTTGGCCATGACTCATTTCTCGCCATCACTGCCCGACTCCAGCCATATCAGAGATGACTTGCAATTGCTGCAGGTTAAGCCTCCTTACTCTTGTACAGCTCTCATTCTAGTGGGTTCTGAGAAGCTAAGCAAACTGCCTGTATCACACTACGAGCAGGATGGCGTGAAAGCAGGGCTACAAAGTCAGAATTTAGACCCACGCACTCCGATTTAGAGCTCCACTCCTACCCCTACATCACTACGGCTCAGGAGTCTTGAGGATTATCTGCCCAGTCCCAATAGCACACGTCCAGGCTTAACCATGCCAACAGAAAAGTAGTAGCTTTTTATAATGATGGCAACTCTTATGTCAAGCCCTCCAGAGGACTCGGTTCTAGAACATCAGAGATGGAAGTGACCATGGAGGTCATTCTGTATTGTTCCAGAAAGCGACTGCCCGTGAATTTGCACGATGGGATTCTCACTTTACAGGCTCTGCCAGCCTCCTCTGAAGTGAAATTTGATTGGCTCCTCCTGACCGGCCCGGTGGGGCCGTCTGGGCCATCTGGAAGGCACACGTGACACTGCTTTTCCCCCACAGGAGCTGGAGGCTCGGGTGCCAGAGGGTCAGCATCTCTTCGAGAACCTCCTCCATCTCGGGCCAGCAAGGGGGACCTCCAACGAGCTGGAGGACTTGCGTTACCAGTGGATGCTGTACAAGTCCAAGCTCAAGGACTCTGGCTACCTGCTGGTAGGTGCTAAGGAAGCACGGGCCCCAGGTCCCGGGGATGGGACTCCGGCTGAGCCCAGACTCATGTGAGGAGACAGAGCTGGGCCATGCTCACGGGTCCTGGTGCTTGGCTTTAAGATGTCACGTAGCCGTCCTGCCACCCTATGTGGCTGGCACTCCAGGAACGATGGCAGGAGCCATCCTGGTTAATGTTTCAGGAGCGCTTTGCTGCCTTCTGAGCTGAAACCTTCGGGACCCCATTCAGTCCTGTCTCCAGTCTCCAAAGGGGGTGGGGGCTGAGACTCTGAGACTTGGAACTCCCGGGGTCATGGAGCTAGGAAGCAGCAGAGCCAGCATTCAGAACGCCCCGCTGGGGAATGTGTGGTAGAGGGGAGCACGGCCCCAGGGTTCCCGTGTGCCTTTGCACAAAACAATAGTAATAGTCATGAGAGCCTTCATGAAGTGCGATGTCCTTGTAACAACCCTATAAAGGAGATGCTGTTGTTATTCCCTGAGAAGCGATGGGGAAACTGAGGCACAAGGGTTAGCCCCAGATGGAGGGCCTTTGAGATGGCCTCCCCAGACGCTAAGCTTTGGTGCTCCCGCTCCTTGGTCCCTGCAACAGCCATGCTGGCCACTAGGTGTCAGTGCAGCCCCAGCCTGGTGGCCGCCCCCCAGGCCTTCCCGGCCCAGAATCCCACCTGGGCCTGAAGTGCGTTAAAAAGCTCATTAAATCGAATCACCTGCTGGTTCAGCCTATCCAGATGACCAGAAGTTTTAAAGAAACACTCCCCTGACAGAATGAATATTCCATTACAGGCTCTGTTGGGATTTGAGTTTCACTCACTTAACGTCTTTTTTTCCCCTTTTCCTCTCCTTCCCGAAAATAACAGACGCAGAGTTCTCCAGGGGAGCCGACTGGATTCCAGAAGGTACCGTGTCTGCCATCTGCTGCACACGCTAGAAGGCAGGGCGTCTGGAGGCCGGTAGGCCTGCAGTGCTGAAGCCAGACTCCTGGGCTTTCTGGAAGGTTCCATGAGGTCCAAGGCACGTTTTCTGGGCAGTGAGCTCTGGGCTGCCCTGTCCTGGGCCCTGGGGCCCTTGGGAAGCCCCAGGAGGGTGCAGAGTGTACTCAGCTGTGACACACCCATGATAGAGGAGGGACCCTGGAGATTTTCATGCAAAACCAGGACGCGGTGGGGAATGGACAAGGAGACTATTGACAGTTACGTGGTGACAACGTGGGTGTAGCCCAGGACCGTCCCAGGAAACCCGGACCATTGCGGGCGCACTGGATTGTGCGGCCCCCCGAGTGGTGGGGACGGGCGTCTGGGGCACGGCGGTGGCGGGGGACAGAAGAGGAGGGGGGAGTTGTGCCTTCCTGTTCTACTTCTGTTCTCTCTGTGCTAAATCATGGTCAGGGCATCTCATTTAACTGTCCCATCAACGCTCGAGAGGTGTTATTCCCTCTGCTTAAGCACGAGGAAACGGAGCCATGACAGGATTGGAATCACTCGTTCGGCCCAGGCGTGCGGCTTCTGGGTGGTCTCTGGCCTCTGGCCCCAGAGCCCACATCTTGACTTTCCACACTGTGCCTTGGAGACAGCATCCCGGGGGCCTGGGGGGTATCCCTGCCTCAGGGAAAACCCAGTGTAAGTTGATGTCACCTTTTCCAAAGGGAACACACTTGTTTCCCTGCCAAGCCCTGGCCCGTAACAAAGTGAGCCTTCGGCGTGCTCTGCTGCAAAGAGCTCTGGGTTCCTCAAGATCCCTAATGCCATGGAATCTGTTTCCAGGTGCTTTGCACACCAGGATTTCTTCTTGGTCTCCAGCTGGGGTGCACGTCTCACATCTGCAGGGGAGTGGGTGTCCCCTGGACTGGGTGGGGCCATCACAAGACCAACGCTATGCTTTGGGCCCGGCGTCAACTAGCCTTGTGGCTTTGGGCAGGTTGCTTTGCCTCTCCGGGCTTACTTTCCCCATCTGGAAAATGGAATTGTCAATGCTGACTTTCCTTCCTTCATGAATGAATGTGGAAGATCATGTGAAGGGTTGTAGAATTCTTCAGAGAGACTAGAGGCCTGGTTTTCCCCCCAATTTAGAATAACACAGAGCCTCCCCAAGAAATGGGGAAGAGCATCAGGAAGGATGGGGTGGCTCCCACAGTCTAGCCTCATGGCTCCCGGGGGCCTCCACACTTTAAGCCCCTCCCTGGGGAGACCCCATCTGATCTGGAGCTCCCAGGTGGAATCACTGGGAGTCATGTCTTGGTCCCCTGATGCCTTGCGCACGGTGAGTGCTCACTGAATGTTTTTGAGTAGGGGGACACATGGCTGGGGGCACCAGGCCTCTGGAGCAGGCTCCGTTTCCTGGCAGCCTGTGATTGGCTGAATGTAGAGTCTCCATAGCCTTGTGTTCATTTGCTGTCTCTCATTCATTCATTCATTCCACACGGATTTACTGAGCACCGACTTTGTGCCAAGCACTGATTCGGGCACTTGGGATCCATCAGTGAGCACAAGAGCAGAGACCCACCCCAGTGGACTGTGTGTCCCAGCTGGGTGGAGGGGGCCTGGGAGGAAGGGTTCACCCGTCTAGCTGGTGGTGCTCCACACAGCGGCTCATCTCTGGGCGGGGGCTCCAAAGGGCAACAGCAGATTCAGGTCTTTATAACAGGCGTCGTCTTATCCGTGGCCAGTGGAGTTTGGGCACAGTTTTGTAGGGTCTGCAAAACAGGCAGGCTCTACATGGCTAAGAAAAAATGTGCTTATTTGGGCTCTGTGTAAAATAATTGGGTGTGTGAAAATTTGAGTTCGGTGCTGGCTGGCTGGCTTTTGTGAAGCCCACTGCAAAGAAGTAAGCAGCCTGTAAGCCAGTGTGCAGAGGCCATCTTGGGCTCACTTATGTGACATCTTACGCACAGATTTCTGGGTCCCACCCTGAGTGATTCACTGGGGCTGAGTTGGCCCAAGAATCTGCATTTCTAGCAGGTTCCCAAGTGATGCTGATGCTACTGGCCTGGGACCACACTTTGAGAACCACGGCTCTGTGCTTTGGACCTGAATCTAGGACCCCCCCGTTAGTGTGTGTTCCTGTTGATGAGTCCTCAGCCCGTTTTGCACTGAACAGAACGAGGGTCCACCGAGCTAAGGGTAGGCAGAGTTCTTGTAACAACTGCACACAGTAGGTTCTTAATTGCCATGTAAAAGAGGCCCCGGAGACTTCTCTGGACACTGCACCTGCTTATCTTTCTGCGAACAAAGGGAGCAGTGACGCTTCTGAGGGTGGGGGGATTCTTCCCTTCAGTTTGGTTCTTGTGGTCGGTGTGTGCGTATATGCATATGTGCACGTCCGTGTGCACTCACACACACATGCACACACGCACGCACACACAGGCCTGACAGGCAGAAAATAGACTCTGTCTTTAGGCATTGTAATCTTGCCAACTTGAAAACATTTCGTATGTGATTTTTAGTCCAAAAGGAAGAAAAAAACCTGCCCCAAAGCTAATTATTTATGAGCAGTTGGTTCTCCACACTTTTTTCTTTTCTCTGCGTGCACCAAGTCATTGAAAGCTCCAGCAACGTCAATGGCTTCAGCCTGCTTGTTTGTATAAACACAATAATTAAGATTTATTAAATTTGCAGCTTCCTACACACTTGCCAGCCCAATGCCACCGGATCCGTGTGCCTGCAGCATTCAGACACATGAAATGTAATTGCTTTTTAAATTGCATCTGGGCTGTGAGTCGCCTGAATTTCTGCATTGGCCCCGGGGAAGTGGGGTACAGTCCTTCTTGCGACAAACTTTGCATTGAAGAGCAGATTCGCAAGGGTTTCTGGTTGCTTGGGTCAGCTGGGGCAGGGCCGGTGCCCCAGTTTGCAGGAGCGGAGAGCAAACGCCTCCTGTGCACGCTGTGGACCCTGGGGGTGCAGCCCCAGATGCTGAGTGACCCAAAGTTGCATTTTATTTACTTGATCATATGGCATAGGTCTTAAGACTCGTGATTTTTCATTTTCACATTTCTGGAATTTGGGCGACTTATTATGAGCTACTCCTCTCAGAAAGGATTTGGGCTTGCTTCCCTCCGCCACCCCGGATGCGCTCCACCTGAGATTTCTCTAAATGGAAAATCTTTGCTTGCAGGTGGTGTCCTGTTTTGTTTTCCTTTGGCTCACACTGATTGTGTAAACTCAGACACCCAGCCTCTGGGAGCTCCAGCCTATGGTTCACATTCGCAGGGAAGAAGAATTCCCCTCGCTTCACCCAGTGCCAAGATCATACCTCAGATTTCCTTGCTTCCCCTTTCTGGGAGGTGGGATTACTCCTCGTTTCCCCTGACAGGGAAGGCATGGCCCCTCAGTGCCCCAGCTTGAGGTGGAGTCTCTTGTCAGGTGCCCCATCTTGGTTGGTTCTGTCCTTCCTGAGTGGTTTGTAAAATAATGACACACCTCACAATCGGCATCCTAGATCAGATGAAAAACTCAGATACTCAATCTAAGGAAGCCTTTGTGAGTTCTCCATGTCAGATGGTAACTTTCTTTCTCGGTAAGTATGATTTTTTAAAAATCTCCACTGTGTGCCAGGCACTATGCTGGAACACTCACGTGCCTGGCCTTTGCCACTCAAAACCACCTTTTTTTTAGTGGGAGGAGCGTGGCCTCTTGGCCCCTTCTCCATATGTGACAAAGGACCCAGTTCAGGTGGGGACAGAGGAGATGTCACTTGGCTTTGTCCCCCTGTGATTCACTGTGCAGCTTTGGGGACTAAATTTGGCTCTTTCTTGGTCAAAGGGCTGGGCTGGGCTGGGCTGGGCTTGGCTGGGACCGCGCAGTCTCTGACCTTGAAAAGGAGAGAGCCCCGGATGGGCCTCCACCCATGTGCTGTGTTATCCCAGGCCCCGTCTGTCCGTCCGTCCACCGAGCCCAGAAGCGACGTGCTACCACCAATGTAGGAAAGAGTCTATGCTAACCCTTCGGACATCAAGTTTTTGAAACTTGTCTTTGACTTCAGAAATCCAGACAAGTTCATCTCTATGTGCTCTATTTCCCCAACCTCCCCTCACCCCCGCCTCTTCTGCACCACCTACTCATCCCTCCCCGACCCAGCCCCTGGCAACAATGGATTGTTCTACTGTCTCTTAGTTATGTCTTTTCTAGAACATCATAGAGTTGAAATCAGATAGTATGGAGCCTTCTCAGATCGGCTTCTTTCACTCGATAATATGCATTTAAGTTTCCTGCCTGGTTTTGGGGTTGCTTGATAGCTCGTTTCTTTTTGTGCCGAGTCATATTCTGTCGTATTAATATTCCACTTCTGGTCTTTTTTATAGACCTCTTTCCTCCATGCTGGATCCAGTCCAGGGTCACCCAGTGCATTCGGTTTGTCCATCTCTTTGGTTTCCTCTAGGCTAGAACTAGTCTTCTGTTTTTCTTGACCTTGACCTTGAGTCCAGGTCAGAGATTTTCTAGGATGTCCCTCGAGGCACATTTCCCTGGTATTTTCTTGAGATTGCAATCGGGCTGTGCATTTCTGGCAGGAATGTTGCAGAAGGGATGCTGTGTTCTTGGCGTGTCTTACTGGAAGACCCACTGCGTCGCTGTGGCCCCAACATCGCTGATGCTAACTCTGACTGCGTGATTAAGGGGGTGCCTGCCAGCCTTCTCCCCCATACAGTGCTGTCCTTTCTTTTGTAATTAATAAGTCATCTCTGTGGCTGCTTAGAGACACTGGACGTACAGTGCCTCTTTCTTCAGTGGTTGTATCTGCGGGGTTTTCTGCAGCCATCTGAGCAGTTCCTTCTGCTGCTGCGGCTTTGTTTCCTGACTCCGGGCCTCCCACTCTCCTGGGTCCATCTCTCCAGTCCAGGTCTCCTTTCTGGCTTCAGTCCCAAAGGCCCACCCACCTGCTGGATATCTGCTTGGGAGTCCCACAGACCCTCGGACTCAGCATGTTCCAGAGATAGAGATAGCCTCACTGTATTCCCTGTACCCAACCAAGCCCCAGTCCCCATATCGGTGAAAAACATCATGACCACCCACTTTCCCAAGCCAGATGCCTCCGGGTCATCCCAGACCCTCACCGACCTTGGTTCTGGTCCTAAGCTCAGAGCCTGGTCATGGATGGATCTCATGAGGAATGATGAGGGAAGGAAGGAAGGGAAGGGAAAGGAGCCATATGCCCGTACATCTCCCAAATGAGGCTTGCATCCTTGCTTGAGTAATGACAAAATCCTCACTCCGGTCACTCGATCCAGAGGTCCTTCCCACCAACTAACTAAACCACCTCCAAAAGGCCAGCTCAGACGATGTCATCTTCCATCTCTCTCCAAAACCAACTCAAGGTTCTGGAAAACCACAGTCTGTGGCCTGACCATCATGGGCAGAGCCACTCAGGAAGGAGATAAAATGAACCCAGCCCCACCCCAGCCACTGCCGTCCTGTCCCTGCTTGGAACTGTCCAGAGCCCCTGAGGTCTCACGGGAAGTGAATCTGGGGCTGTAACTTGGTGCTTTGTCAGCGAGCAGTCAGCGAAGACATTATCACAGGCATGGCGAGCAGGCCCTGGCCCAGGAAACCCTGGCCACCCTAAGACTCACCGGCGCAGTTGGGGAAATGCAGTGGGCCCCAGACACGGCCCTCCTCTGAGGGAAACCCAGGGAGAGGAAGCCAGCCAGTGTGTGGTGCCTTCAGGGACTGGAGAAATTACTAGTGACGGCTTCATGGCGGCCATCTTGAATTGCCGGAGAAAAGCGGGCCCCTATCCATCCTTCTTGGTGCTGGCCTGGAAGCATCTCTGTGGTGGTGAAACCCCACCCAGGAAAGCCCCCAAAGGCCCCGGCGGTGACGCAGCGTGACTTCCACACTGGGGGCCCCAGCTCGGGGTGGGACCAGATTTAACAGACGTAGGCTGACTGACACCTCAGGCCTGGGGTGACTGTCATTGTTGGTGTTGTGGCTGAGTTGTTTCTTGTGAGAACACCATGCAGGATGGTGGGCAGAGCCTGGGCGTGGAACAATGTGGTGAGGGAGGCTGTCTGTGTGACCTTGGCCTGGTTCCTCTCCCGTTGGCTCTGCTCCTTCCTCTGGGGAATGGGTGGGGGGGAGAACTGAAAGCCGCTGGGCCTGGGGGCTGTGTCCGGGGTGTTCATCAATGGCAGAGCATCTGGACAGTGAGAAGAGCCACAGCCAGTGGTCAGCAAGGATCTGTGTGGTTACGCCATGGACACCAAGGGAGGAGCAGACGGTCAGACATGCAGGAAGGGAAGGACGCTTTCATTCCCTATTTCATTCATTCAGCACATATTTGTTGAGCAAATGAATGTGGACCCTGCCTCCGAGGAGTCAAGAGGACCATAGACTTTAATCAGTCATCCAAAGGGAAGGTATTGGGGCTGTGAAAATGTATAATGGGCTGTTTTTTGGTCTACGGCAGGGAAGGTGCCCCTGAGGAAGCCACTCACAAGCTGAAATTAGAGTGATCAGTAGGAACTAATTAGGTGCATTGGAAAAAGGAGGGAGATTAGTATTCCAGACAGAAGGGATAGCCTGTGCAAAGGCCCAGTGGCGGGAGCACGTGAGGGCCTTTGAAGGGCCAAGAGATGGCATTTAAGGAGGGTGGTGCTCTTCTCTCTGATGGGCCTGAGGAGATTGGTGGTGCCTGATCCCTGGCACCACCAGGTAGAGGGGGAAGCTTGTGGGGCTGTAGGAGCGGCTTATCTGCCCCAGTATCCACCAGTTAGAGGAGGAAGGGAGTGAGCATTTACTGAGCATAGCATGCATTGCCTCATTTACCCTTCTAACTTTGGTAGGCAGGCATCATCCCTCCCTTTTCCGCAACAGATGAAGGGACTGCAGCTCAGAGAGACTGAGTGACCTATCCTAGGTTATACAGCTAGGAAGCGCCAGAGCCAGGGTAGAACCCAGAACTCGAAACTTTTTCTTTTCCCCCGCGTCACCTTTCATCCAAGGTAGATTAGGCCACATTTACTATGATAAACTCTTCTTGCCTGAACTCCTCAAACCCTCGAGTCTCAGGTCTGTGTGAGATCTTGAAGGACTTCCAAGCATTCAGTTACCCTACATAACATCTCCTATTTCCTGCCCCCCCACCATGTGCTGTCGACCCCCTGCTTCCATACCCTAAGGGATTGGGAGTGCATTGCTTCCAGAGGAAGCCCCTTCTCTCTTCGGATAATTCTAAGTGGGTGGAACACAGGTAGTACTTTCTCTGGGGAAACTGAGGCACAGAGCAGCTCCCAGATCTGGGAAGAGCTGAGATTGTCAACTTCTTTGTTGGCTTCTAGAAAGGTAGTTCATGCCTGCGTGTGTGTGTGTGTGTGTATGTGTGTGTGTGTGTGTGTGTGTGTGTGTGTTTTCTAAACATCTGAGGATCATTTTAAAATGTATCTCTTATTTCAAAGAGCATTTCAGAATTCAGGTCCCTCAAAGCGAAAATGTGAGCTCTAAGTGAACAGCCACTGGGAGTCTTTTGAAAAAAGACCACCCCTTGTCAACACTTGTCAATGCAAACACACTTTGGACCTTCAGAGATGTTTTCTCCAGAGGATCCTGGCCAAGGCACCCTTCCTCACTTAAATAAGCGGAGTGCTAGCTCTGCAAATGCAGGTGCAAACAAACAGGACACTGTAAACAGATTTTGCATTTGGGAAACCATTCATTATAGGGTTTTAGTTGAGGGTAATGCCAGGCTAGCATGGGCCTGCAGCATGTTGTTCTCTTTTCCTTTCTCCTGGGTGGGTCAGAGATTTGGAATCAGATAGAGTCAATGTGACATGTCAAGGAGTCAAGTTAGAGTCCACACAGGCTGAGGCAGCCCCACGTGAACCAGGCAGGTGCCAGGGAACAGAGCACGTGCCAACTAGGTCTGACCCTCCCCGGCAGCTGTGGGAACTCATGCTCACTCAGCTGCTCGGGTGACCTACCTTCCCCCACCCCTAGAGTCCCTGCTGATACCAGTGCAGCCGGGAGGGCCTCTCCGCCGTGTGGGTTGTAAAAAGTCTGGTTTTGCAAAATCAGTGTGGAAGGGCTTCAGTGAGTGAGAACATTTGAGGCTGGAGGCATAGGGTCAAGTGTTATCAACCTGGAGGAGATCGTTGGGGCAGGAGGTGCGGTGACTCAGGTGGGAGAGCTAGAGAGTCGGAAGTGCCCAGGTCAGAACCCCCCCATTCAGCCGTGCTTCCTCATCACTGTCAGCACTGCCATTGCCATCCTCACCCTCGCCGTCATCACCGCCTTGTCACCACCACCACCTTCACCATCGTCACCACAACCATCGTCATCACCTTCACCATCGTCACCGTCACCACCACCATCATCACCTTCA